CTGATTACTCTCAGACTCGCCGTCGTCATTTGCTCAAATTTTTTGTTTTGATTTATAGATGACTTGAATATATATATATATATATATATATATATATATATATATATATATATGATAGTGATGATTTGTACGAGAGGAAATTGTGCAATAAAGAATTATTATTATTATTATTATTATTATTATTATTATTATTATTATTATTATTATTCCTCTAATTCACAACTAAAGATATGAGTCGGTTGGTTATAAATTCTACTTCAGGTTGCAACTAGCTTCCCGTAAGAAACACATCTTGGGACTGATGGTGACACTGCAACACTTAGCGCAATATGTGGGCTGTTCCCAATAAAGCAATTCCTTGCACTTCCCAGTCTTTTGAATGACCTGCATGTTTTGTCAGATTCTTACACAAAATGTGCGGAACAAATCCCAGATCTCCGATAACTATCGAGACTACCTGTGCTTTTGCGCCCCACATTCGGCTGATCTCGATTTCCAAACTCTTGCATTTACGTTTCTCTGCATCTGCTGTCTGTATTTAAGACCAAGAAGTTGGTTACGACGTTTTGATCGCACGACACACATCGCATCGCACCGCACGACAGCAACATCTACAAGTAGACGTTTTTTCTCCAAATCTCGGAAAAAAATTATCCGGTTTGTTTGACACTACAGTGCAATCAATTTGAATTTGTTGGTCGTACAAAATTATAGTCCAACAGATGTCACCGTCACGTTAGTGTCTGGACCTCGAGGAGCGTGTGTTTGAGCCAACTATGTCAACTACACTATTAAGATTTTGTACAGAATTGTATATTTGCTTCTTCTTCTCATTATTATTATTATTATTATTATTATTATTATTATTATTATTATTTGAAACTACGCCTCTGTATACTATTCTTCGGTCAAATTTAATGACCAGCCCCATTAATGGGTCATCTTGATGATTGACTACATGCACTCCGATCCTCCACCCCATTCTCACTACAGCATCATATAATAATAATAATAATAATAATAATAATAATAATAATAATAATAATAATAATAATGATAATAATAATTATTATTACTATTGTTGGTTTTATTATAAATTAACACGATTTCTCTTCTCTTCCTTAACCAGTACCCGACAATAAGTATTTCGGTTGAAAAATCACCGATTTTCGCCGCAGCATTACAGTACAAACTTTCTCTCGACAAGTACGCAAGACGAGAAAGTAAAAAGAAAAAAAAATAATTTTGGAAAATATTCAATAACACGGGTAGGAACGTTAATTGTGAACATACCACACACTAAATAATTTGCATTTATACATTATATTCATCTTTATATACACTTTTATGATTTTACTGACAAATAAAAAGAAATATTACACAAACTATTCACAAAAAATATTTTGAACGTTATTACAAATACTGCTGTTTTTATTTAATTTACATTTGATTTAGATGTAATTTCACCAAGCCATTTACATTTAATTCACAATTATTGCCTAGTACATTGTTTTTGAATTATGCATTTTAGATTACCGTGACAAAGCTCGTATCATCGGCAAATGCTTATTTAAGGGCTTGTTTCCGTGATTATTCAACTGGATGACAAATCGATGACACAGTTGAACTAATGAAGCCAGGACGCCTCCGTCAAACCGCTCGAACACGCGCGAAAGGGGGAGGGGAACGGGCGTGGCAGGGTGACGAAGGCGAAACAAATCAAAACTTTCTCGACTCTCCGATTATTTGGCATATCTAATTATTTATTTATGTCAAAACAGTTAAAAACTGTGTGTGACATGCTATGGGAAGAAGTTAATTTGAAGTTACAATTATGTCCAGAAGCAAAGCAAGGGTCCATCTCAGCATTGGCTCGAGGATTACGGAAACTGGACGAAAACCTGATCGAGATGGGGTCATTGACCCAGAAGCCTGCCTTTCATGAACTACTAACTCAATACACAATGGCACAGACTATCTCGTACTCTTTAGTCTAGGCTAGCTTCTGAGTTTTGTCCCACCCTCTTCCCAGCTGCCCTTGTAGCGGAATTGAAATAAGTCTTTAAGGATTTTATAAAGTAATTTTATAGAGTAGTCGTTCTACAACAGAACACACTTTCTCTCTTTAATTTTGAATTGGCAAATTTTCGAAAACTCAGATAGTTCTATGAAAATGAAAAAGGAAGCTAGCACAAAAGTTTCATCGATATTGATTCAGAGATTATCGCGCTGTAACGAAACGCACTAGTTTCTTTATATTTTACTAGTACAGATTATACATAAAAGGCAGTTTTTTCGCAGGGAGCGAGTTTCGTCTCACTGAAGTTCCGTCTACAGGGCGATTCTCTTGAAATTAAATTGTGTGTTACAAGTGGTTTAGAAAACAGCGCGAGGAGTGGGAACAACAGACAGCACTGAGCCAAGTCGCGCAAACCCAGTCATCCACTTTCGATTCGCAGCTGGACAAAAATAACGGAATTTAATGCTAATTATTTGGAGTAAAACTAATATACATAAAATGTACGCTGTTGTTTTCACCCTTTGTATGTTATTAGCACAGTAGATCTAAACATCGTATCGTTCGTATCAGGGTACTATTTGCCGGTTTCGAAGTCATTTAAATTAATGATATAGTTTGCAAAGGACTTTCAAAACTCTTTTTCTGCACAAGTTTACATTGACTCTTCTCAGCCTTGCTAGAAGTTCTCGGTTTACGTCTCTTGGTAAATAATTCAATGAGACAACCTGCCTGGAGCAACGCCACCTAGGACACAAGGCCGCAACACTTCCGCTGCTCTCTACGGTATGCGGCCAATCGAGTCCGTGAACATTGTCTAGAGTAACTTACACAAACAATCTTTTTCGTATTAAATAATTTCCAGGATAGAACGACTTAAAAAACGTAATTTCAAACATCATTATGATGAAATATCCAGTATTTCTATATTAACCAAGCGCAATATAATTAAATTGCATGGGTTTTAATTATTCAGTTGCTCGTATAACAGGAAGATTCATCCACTCTTAACTATTATTTCTGGTAAATCATTTAAATAAAAGGAAGAAGAGAGAATTGATCAGAATTGAGGAAGAAAACAAACTTTCCCATCCTATCATATTGTGTGGCCTTTTTCTGTGCAGTGAAATCATTACTTTTGTTAACATAATTTGCATAATTCGCGCACCTTCAATAATCAAAATAACATTAATGGATGATCTCATGTTACAAGCGTCTGCATTCAGTTTACGTTAGAGCACCAAATATTTATCTCACATATGATTAAGCAGTTTGAATAAAGTATACGTAAATACACAGTGCACCAGGCAAGTCTCTCCACACCGAGTCGAATCGAGGCCTTATATTCAAAATTGAATTTGTGTTAGTAGTAACCAAATCACTGAGAAACAAGACAAGGAGGCAACACTTGCAGCATCTATTATGGTTGTGGTGAGTACACAATTTATGTTTCTACCAACAAAATTTCTGTTGCACACACTCTCACTACAAAGGTGCCACTGGGGAGAGACTTTCCTGGCACGCTATATAATGTTACAAATGTCTATATTGATTACATTTAATTTGTATTTACAACTGATTGCTTTGTAAGGGCGGAATTGCTTTCTGTGAATTGCTTTACCCCATTTCTCCCATAATTTCTCTTCTTTGGGAGAAAACAAATACACTAACAATGCAACATTTGAGAGGCAAGCGATCACACGTGAGCCCGAAAGCATAACTCGGCTACAACAACAGCACCACACACAAGTAGGAAGGGAAACCGAAAACAGGCCGCAATGCTGTGACGTCACAACTTTTCAAGCAATGTCCTGGCCTTGTTTCCCAGAAGACTGCCTGGTGCATCTACATGACAATTTCGGACACACTTCCCACAATGACTTTGAATGAAAAAATGACAGCCATTACTCTTCACAGAATTTGTTTCATTTGTATTTACTCTCAAAGACTTTCTTGTAAGCTCTGTTCGTGCTGAATTTCACTTCTGCACGCCTTCAGAAAACATCCATTTACATCTGCGGCATAAACTGAAATGTTATGCAGCTGGGGATGAGAAACCAATCACAAAAGATCACATTTATATTTATACCTTTGTTCGCATCAACAGGTAAAGTTTAGATTTGAACATACGCACCGCCAGGTCAACTCCAACCATTCAATTGAAGCACATAGTTTATTAAGGCATTTTTTCATGTTATTGTTAACAAAAGGGCTACGTACCTCCATAACAATTTTTCAAGACCAAACACTACAGGAACTAAAAGGCTTAAAAGAATTGGTTTCAGCGTGAACAAACTGTGCATTTATTGCACAGAGGAAGAACACATGTGAACTGAAATTTTATGTAAATCTACAACACTGAAATTGCAAATAGTTGAAAGATGAGTAAAAGTTTAAAATAAATAAATAAAAATAAATTTTAAAAAAGCGTGAAAAGATGTAGGTCGGTGCCAGATCTCACCATCCAGAGGGGGAGGAACACCACCACCTTCCAGGATAAAAAAAAAATCACTTCACTTATGAGAATAATGACCATGGCAGATAACGTATCCAAAAATGTCAATCAATCAATTGCACACAATACAATAATTGTGTACAACTTAATTAACATATTTGAACATAAAATAAATATTTAAATTATCTTGTGTTTTTTTGCATGAATATCCTTCACTGTCATTGCCCTGGATAATTGAGGTTGTACTGTGTAAATTTCAAATAAAGAAAAAAATAACTTCAATTTAAAATGTACAGAGCACCAATGGAACTTAAACGAAATCCATTGGAGACCATCTTCCATTCAATGAGATTCAGTACTCTTTTTCTGGGTGAATTCTTCACCCTGTACACTGATCATAAACCAATCCTTACACAATACATTTACTTCTGAATCTCACATTGCTTTGAAATGTTTGGCAAGATAATGTTGATATTTACAACCTATAAGAAAGTTTTGAAATATAATACAAAATTTATTTTTTTTAAAAATCTTTTATTGTTTTGAAATGGTAAAATATAATAAATTGATTACTTCTTAAAAAAGCACAAGCAAGTTAAAATTGATAAAAGGCAGATCACAACAAATTAATTTTCTTATTTCATTAAAATATCATCACATTATCTGATTTACTTCCAGAGGACTATTAACTGTCATAGTATAAGAATTCCAAAATTAATTTAACTTTATTAATTTATATTTGAGCAATTCTGAAAAAGCACATCATAATAACACTACAATAAAAGTCAAAATAAAAATTGATACCAGAATAAAATTATTGATACCTATCAATATTCAGATGAAAATTGTTTCTAAGGTAAAAGTCTACTTACATAAACTGACTAGATAAAATGTATAGAATCTATTCTGCAAATTGATTATAAATAAGTATTAAAAAATTAAATTCAATCTTTTTATAGGTTTCTTCCAAATGAATTCACACAATATACATACTGATTTACCTCTAGAATTACTGATATATAAATCACAACCATATAAAAAGACCCAGCTGTACAATGTATAAAAAAAAAACAATCGCACAACACTGCCTTTTAAAAACTGTACAATAAAAATAAATTATAGAAAAATAATATAACTAAGAAAAAGTACAACAACCAAAAACAAGTAACAATCAACAAATCAACTATCTAGCAGCAACAGTTCAATAGAATCTATAAAACTTCTTCCAATGAACCCCATGATTTTCCACACTTAACTTTGACAGGAAGAGGCACAGTCAAATTGGCAGCAGCTTCCATACCACCCTTCACGATCTGAATTACATCATCAATGTATTCATCGCACACCTACAAAAACAATGCATTTAATTACATTCCAAACAACCCAATGTAGTCTCATTTATCAGTTACTTACTTCATACAACAATTCATCATGAAGATGCAGAATGAGAGTAGCAGTGGACATTTCTATGCACTGCCGTTTGTTCTCTCTCAATCGGCGAATACGGGGGGATTCATTTCGAAACACAGCCTTCAAACTTGCTTCAACGAGCACCATGGCAGTCTTTGCTATGTCAGCAGCTGAACCTTGAACTGTTGTGTTCAAAGCCTGCCTCTCTGCCTGAGCTATTTGCAGAATATAGAATAAGAAAGAAACTTGAAAGTAACCGACAATAAAAATCACAACACTGAACTATGAGCACTGTATTTAGAAAAGATAAAAATTGTACGGGTATTATTTGCTCTGAAATTAATTTTAGAGGGAATTAACAAACACCTATCTGATATTCTCAAATATTTCCAATATTGACAATATTGTAAAACAAGTTGAAAATGCTTCTTTGTATTATAAAACAAAAATGAGAGATTCTAGACACTATAAATATATTATTATTATGACAACTTCAGAATATCAGATAAAATAAAATAATAAGAAGGAAAATAAGGAAATGAAAGGTCACACATAGAATTCAATTACTGTAATCTCAAGATAATGAAATATAAGAAAGTACTGAATCTTTCCTCTAAGAAAAAAATGATAAAAAATAAGAGCATGATTTTTGTGAATAAAAAAATAACACAACATTTTTCTTAAAAGAATGCTGCTATCAACAGTTTTTTAGTCTAGTTTTATTTCCTTAAAGTAAAAACTGTATGTGGGAGACGATCATCTACACATATTTTCTTGAGTGCAAGTCCAGAATCCCTTCCCATCATTTTAACTATAAATTGTTGAAAGATGAGTAAAAGTTCAAGATAAATAAAAATATTTTTTTTAAACGACAAGATTAGCAATATTTCAAAAACTAGATATTTTCTTTTCACGAGTTATAGAAAACTTGCAAAGGTAAAACGAACTGCAGATTTGATTTTTCTGCATTGCTAACAAAATAAAATTTGCCCTTCCTCTACTCCTACCACTACAAGCAAAAGGAGAGTTAAACAAAACACGCACATAGTGAAGATACAGTTATGTCGAGAAGCAAAACAAGGGGCCTTTTGCTGATGATTTCAATAGAAAACGTACGGTACTTTTATACTTGCCTCTGAGATGAGGTTTATTGCTGTTAATAGCAGGCAAAAATCTCTTACGACCTGACAAAGTTTCAACAAAACATTTTGCTTTGCATTTTTTGATAACATCTTCTCGATATGCCTTCAAACCTATAAGAACAAAGTTTAGAAACATGTATTAAAAAATTGGCATATCCATGACATTTTCACACTAACAACTGACTTGATTTATTCAGTCAAAAAACAGTAAAACCTGAATATGTGACATACAGGGGGGAGAAGATCATCTGCACACTTTTTCTAGAGCTCTGGAATCCCATTCCAACATTTTAACTATAAATATTGCAACATGAATAAAAGTTGAAAAACTAAAACAAACAAAATAAATAATAATAAAATTTAAAAAAGGTGAGAGGTTAGCAACATTTGAAAAACTAGACCTTTTTATTCCCGAGCGATAGAAAACTTATTTTAATTGGTAAACGAACTCCGGCTAACAAAACAATAACTCACCCCCAACTCTACTCCTACCAATACAAGGAAAAGGAGAGCTCAACAAAACGTGCGCACAGTGAAGCTACATTTATGTCCAGAAGCAAAACAAGGGGCTATCTCAGCATTTGCTCAATAGATCAGGAAAATTGGATGAAAACCTGATCAAGTTGTGGATCATTGACCTGGATGCTAAAGTACTACATTACTTGTTACAAGCATGATAAGTCTTTTTTAAAAATTATACAATACAAATGTAAACTAATGAATTGTATTTCATTGTTTTGTTAAAATAAACATTATTTCTTTTGTTAATTATCAGTATAGTCTCTAATTGTATGGAAACAGTTATGCAGCAGAAAATATTTTACTGATATATGTGTTCCTTCATACAATGATTTACAGAAAGCATCTTGAAAATACCTGGATAGGCAGCCAGGAATGATTCCATAAACAAAGCTGCTTCTTCTTCATCAACTTCTAATTGATCAGACAAAGCATTTGCGCCAATGCCATATATCACTCCATAACAAACTTGCTTGGCTCTTTGTCGAAGACTATCAGTAACCTACATGAAATAATAAAAAAAAGACAACACCCAGATATAAGAAAATTATATATTATTTAATATTACATGTACATATAATAGAAGAATTACAGCGGTGGCCAAATTATTAGACTAAATATTTTTTCTCCGACTTTACAGATTATTCAATCCCCCCCCCCCCTCCTTATGTTGTAATGTAAAATAGTTCCCCTGGCATGCTGTGCAAGTCAGATCCCAAGTTTTGTGGGTCCTTGATACGGAAAAATCAATTCTCGACAAAACGTCTTTCTGTAGTAGACTATAGAGATGTCCAGAATATCGTAACGTTTGGCTGGAAAGTATTGGGTGTCAACCTCTGATACGCGCGTACGCGATTCCTAGAAAAATTACGAAGTTTTTGTCTGAATTACGCGGATGTCGAGGGGAGTGTGTCTTATCACTTTTTTTTATTTACAATGATATTTGCTTTCTTTCGCTTTATTTAGATTCTGACTGCGGAATTCGTCAACAAATTGAATTTAAAACTAGCGGTACTACAGAATGGCACAGACTTTTCTGTATTAGGTTTCTATTTCCTTTGGTTTCGGTTAGCTATTCGAACTTGCCACATATCGCCGCCCAAAGTACATTTTTTCGATATTTTCTTAATTTTGCGGTTTCCTAATTGTCGAACGGAAATATTATTGTAAGATTATTAAAGAACAATAAAAATACGTCCTAAATGACAATTTTCTTCGAAAAATTTAGAGCATTTTTATTGTTGTTGTTGTTGTTGTTGTTGTTTTTAATGGCGTTTAAGCGCTTTTGTAAATTCGAAATTTGAAGCTCCTTTTCACAGAAAATGTTTGAGTTTTCGATAAACTTAATTGGAAGTAATTTTAAGTACTTAAACTTAAAAATACAATAATGTTTACAAATTGCTAGAAAGGTGCATATGAATTGTGTGAGACATCTTCCAAAAAATTATATTTGTGCAATTAGAAAAATACACCGAAATTAACTTTACATATTAAAGAGTGAATCCCATCCGATCGAAATGTTTGAAGAAAAAATTGGGGTCGTTTTTGAGAAAATGGTAGTGTTTCTGAAAATGCGTAGTTTTGCGCTAGTTGTCACAGAAAACTGTAGAATTTTTAAGAAACTTTATATATTATTTAAGGCACATGTACTCATAAATAAAATAATGTGAACAAATTGCGGCTAATACAAATATTAACGACACGAGAGTCAAGTAAAAATTACATTTTTGTAATTTTTGAAAAAAAACAAAACAGAAGAGATATCTGGCGTTTATGTCATCTTTGAGATTGCTTTTACTCGTAGCAATCCTTACCAAAAGATTAAAGAAAATATTTGGAGCCTTTTTGAGGAAACCTTGTTTTTGTAATTTTTTAATTTTCCGCGAAAACTACTAAAATTTTCAAAAAATATGTTCACGACCTATATAAAAGAGAGAGCGTAGGCTTCCGCGACCGGAGTCAGTGTGTAAACACTGACGCATTCGCTATCCGGAGACGCTGCGTCCAGGGCACAGGTGCCAACGCTTTGGTTGCCGTTCTGCGACCTTCATCAGGACGTAGTATTGCCGCCATTGGGCCATTCGGCATAATATTGCACTGTAGTATTGCCCTGATGAAGGTCGCAGAATACTTACATAACTTTCCCTATACTATGTATTTTACTCCGTATATACGTACGTATACGGGAAAGTAAATTTTATCCACGCGAAGTTCTTTCTTTTCAAAACGGTTCGAAGTAAATGTTATCATGACCTTAACAATGATGGGGTCATTGCTAATATGGAGTCATTTCAAGCACTTCCAGTCACAAATGCAATAGTGGCTACAAATCGCTGGAAATGTGCATATTATTATCTTTAAAAAAAGTTTAATTTTTGAAAAAACAAAAAAATAGTCCGATGTGAAAGAGTGCAAATAGCACTATGCCTTTAAAACGTTTAAAGAAAAAAATTGAAGCCGTTTTTGTGAAAATGACGTTTCTGAAAATGACGAATTTTGAGCTAGTTTTCTCAGAAAATAGTTGAGCTTTCGAGAAACTTTATCTGACGTTATTTAAAGCACATACTCATAAATATAATAATGTGAACAAATTGCCACTAACGTAAATATTAACGACGTGAGAGACAGGTCAAAAAATACATTTTTGAAAAACAAAAGAATGGAGCAATATGGCGTTTACCTCATCTTATAGAGGGCATTTAGCACTATCTCAACCAAAAGTCTAAAGAAAAAATTGGAGCCATTTTTTAGAAAATATTTTCGTTCTTTTTCGTGCAAATTTTATTTTAAGAAAAAACTTTATCTTTTGTAATTGTAGGAAGACACCGAAAAAAAATTTTTTTTTGAAATTTTCGAAACTTCAGAGTTAACCGTGAATATTGGACCTAACGTGACTTCGTATTTTTGCATATTCACACATAAACCAGTCTTTATGAAACGTATGTTGTGCATCAGAAACACTTTCTTTGTATTATTCTGTTGTTTGTGTACAAGGTGGCACAAACTCCCTTGTGGAAATCGACTATGCCGACGCCAAGGTAGATGACGCAAACTCCCTATCGATAGCACCTAAACTGTTCATCCGATTTTCTCAAAAATCGATATTCGTCGATCGATCTGATCGAACTCAAGGCTCTGTGAGTTTGAAACGGATATTTCAATTTTTGAGGGTACTTTACGAGACTTTTTCTCAAAAAAGCTAATTTCTTAATTGAATTTTGTCCTCGGATAGCGTAGAAAACGTTTAAAACAATGGCGCACGTATCGTTGAAATCCCTAATATTTCGAAAATTACAAACGTTCAAAATTTTTTCGGCGTCTTCCTACAACTAAAATATTGAAGACAGTTTTTTTGGCTTCTTGAAATCTGTTCTTTAAAAACAGATCTAAAAATATGGTAATGTACAATTTTACGAAAATATGAGTGGGTGTCGCGTAATTTTGTGACAAATATAGGCATTTTTAAACAATTTTTTCTCAAAACAGCTGTAGTTTTTTGCTTGCATGTATCAAGGGATGGTTACAAAAATGGTGCTTGTCCCATTTTCGTGGAACTCTGCATTTTCGAAAATAGCAAATAGTCAACATTGTAAATGTACAAAACTGAAGATAGAGATTTTTTCCTTCTATGAAATCTGATTTTTAAAGAAGGTCATGTACAATCCTTTTTTTATTATTTTTCTAAAGAATGTCTATCATTTAATTTCTACTTAAAAATGGGGCAAATAATAAAAAAGAATCTTAAAAACCACTCTACTTTTTAATAAAGTCATAAAATTAATAGAATGATTGCATGTCTGCCATTACTTGTGCAGTATTTCTTTGCGAGTTAATCAATCTATTGAAAACTTTCGACATTTACTCTTTGAGAAAACATAGAGAAGGTAATGTAGTGAGTTTTCTTAGGTTCAAAGAGTGATTTTTAAATACTGATATTTGTGAGTGTATAAAAGAGCTATGTCTCGGAATTGTCCTAACACAAAAAATTTCAATGATTATAATAAGAGCCCAAACGTCCAGGCAATTATTTTACCTAAAATAAGCAGAAAAAAGGGCATTTATTTTAATTAAAATAAGAATGCAAATAAGGCATTTAGTCTGGCTAATGCAGAGGGTAAAAACACAGGAAAAAAATGACAAATCACAATTTAAAAGTAATTATCGTAAAGAAATTAATAATTAAAATGATTTACATTTTATTCTAACTCTAAAATTTACATTACTCACGTCGAAGAAAACTTTCTTGTCTTTGTAATCTCAATTGCATACGAGCTTCTGGTATGACAACTAAAAATTCATTTTACTCGCAACACTGTCTCTATGTATGGACTCCCTTTTGAACCTTGAAATGGTATCAGCGAAAACAGAATTATAGATTTAGTCCTTTGCACTTGTGTAATTGCCAGAAGGAAGAGAGAACAAAAAAGAATTGAGAAGGGTGTATCATGAACAAGCAGCTCTGTTATTAAAAGGGATCTGAAGTCAAACTCAAACATTTGAAGAGATTCCTTGTGAGTGAATAAGTCTACCAGCATCAATGAAAAACATAAAAAATCTTCACTGGTATTATCTTCCTTTCCCTTTTAGATTTTTAACACAATCTGACACTGAAACTTTGATGTCCACAGACGATCATGCTTTCATGTGGTCCAGGCATGCAGATATGATTTCAGCTTGGTAGAGGCCGATGCCAAGAGGGGGAAAAGGGAAAATGATGACAAAAAAGGCAGAAAAGGCACAAATAAGGCAAAATGCTAAAAGTAGGCATCAGAAGCTAAAATAGGCAACATGGACATCTACTAAAACTCCCGAAGTACAATTAAGTGATTCCTATAGTTAAAAATCATAAAATCATAACAATAATAAAAGACACTTTGCTAAACTTCCAGACTCTAGTTATAATTATGTAGTGAATTAGGTTTTTAAGGTAAGGTGGACAGCAAGATTTCTTTGCCATATTTTCCTACAACAAACATGTACACATCTTGGTAAATACAAAGCATTTCCATTGCATTTTCAGAAAAATATTGAACTCTAGGTTCACAGTGAATTGTGTCAGAACTGTTCCAGAATAAGTAAACCTCACTTATTTCATTAATCTTTGTGTCTTAAATCTGAACATTAAACAATGTTTCTGGGGATTTCTATTTTCCATACACAGAATATGCAGAACTTTTCCAACATTTCTGTAGCAATATCCTACACATTTCTAATTTTTGGTGTTCATTCTTGCTGCTTGAAATTTTACGACATGTACCAACTTTCCAAGACATTTTTCAATCAAATTGATTCTTGTGCTTTGGATGTATTCTGCATAAATTCATTCTATTATTGATCTCATAAAGTTTGTAGTTTTCGTAATAGATCTTTAAATGATGTCATGCATTTTTTTAAAACATCTGAGTAAATGTTGACTAATAACATTAAGAGGCAAAGTTTCTGTACACCACCCATTTCCAGTAGTTTGTATATGATGTAAAAGATGTAATATTTTATAAAGTATTCTGGTAGCATCTCTCCCTTTACACATCTATTGTACAGTTGGCAGAAAATTTCTAGAAGTTCACAAGAGCTATTTTTTAACAGTGCCATGCACACTTCACCTGGATGCAGAGACTTTCCAATTTTGAAAATTCCAAGGGCCTTTCCACTCTCATGTACTGCACATTTACTACTCGTTTATGTTGTAGGACTCTTGCTCACCTCATGCTCTGCAATATGATTCCATAAAGCAGCAACACTTCTAAATACATCACCACCACTACTTAAAATATTGAGTAATATTCTATCTTGAGAAAGATGAGCTAGGATTCTCAATTCTAACTGAGAATAATCCGCAGAAATAAAAGATTTCCCTACAATAAAAAAAAAATTTACTTATCAAATTCAATCAACAAATGCAAACAAGAAAACAAAATAAATGAATGACACTTTCCCATTAAGTTCCCATATATGAGCACACATCTCTCTGAATGTACAAACATATTCACAAAATAAATCATAAATTTATAATTCATATCTCTAGACATTCAAACAAAATGATAAGGAAAATATAAACAAACCTGTTTTAGGAATGAAGGCCATTCGTAAACTAACTGTCATATTGTCTCCATCTCTCAAAGATATATCAAAATCACGAGGAATACTCTGTAAATTCGGTTCGTGCATCGTGATTCTTCCAGTGACAGTATGAGTTTCATAGCAACCAAAAATGCGATCTGACATTCCAACTTTCAAAAATGGGAGAATGATCTGTTAAAATGAAGAGTAATTCATTTAATAGGTAAATTTACGTCCATTAATTACTAGCTTATCAATGATATCCTGGATTTATTTATCACGATTGATAAACAGTCCTGCCAGCCATTCCCACTTGCTCCCTTCCATAACCTATCTTTCCCGTCCTAACCACTCCACCCATCTTTGTCCATCCTGCTTGCTTCGCCTGCCAGCCCTCCCTGCTCTTAATACTCTGCCTGCATTACATACATTGCAGGTAACATAATCTGTCACACCTTCCCACCCACTCCTCAAGGGAATCTAACATCCAAAGTATTATATTTCCCTTTGTATATAATTTATGTCACATATTTGGTTGAAATTGCTCCAGGCATTTCTGAGTCATGCTACAACATACACCCACCTATATAGTATATACTTTTTTTATATATATTAAGATTTACCAAACATAACCAACCAAATTAATTACTTTTGTCATGATGAAATGTATTTTCCGCCATTCTAATATTATAGAAGGAAGACGATGATCATTCTTAAGTTTAATTAAAACATCCTTATTGGTACTTGGTTTGTGAGTAGAAGTATATTTCCAAATTTTCAATTGTAGTTCCTTAAATAAGACCTAAAAAAGTAAAAACATATCTGACATACCACCATTATATGCATAACATACACACAACTATTATATGGATGCAATAACATTGTAGTGTGAATAGAAGAAATAGACATGGTCTTGAATTCAAATGAACATAAGACTAGAGCTCAGCATGTATATTTATATCTCATTACATGAATTGAAATCCATAAGGAATAATTTTTTTTTTAATCAATTGAATTGTGAAAATCCATATGGGATTAATTAAATAAATTTGATTTGAGCTTGCTTCACAACCCCTTTGAAGTTACAAAGTTTATTCTGCCAAAAAAGCCAATTTTTTTAGCCGAGACTGAACTAGAGTCCTCTAGTTTGCATATTTATTGCATAATAAAATCCATCCAATATTGTAAACCATTGTTCAGAATTCTTGTATGGCTGAAAGATTAATGGGTTTCCTTCACCAGAATGTTAAAAGAGGGTTAAGATAAGGAAATAGTGTAATTGCCAAAATAATCAATTACCTTTGCTACATCATTTGGTGAAGAAAGCGAGAATGAATGATTAGCCAATTTAAAAGCCTCCTGTTCCAAATCTTCAAGTTGCTTCTGAAATAAAGTGTGCAGTTTTTCTGCTTCCTCTCTACAAAAACCAATTCCATAAACTTCCATTCGAGCTAAGCACATTACAGTCGGCATTTCTACATCTGAAATTTAAAAAAATATTACTAATATATATACTTCACTGTAAAAAGACAAAGAAAATATACCTTCAAATTTAGGATTCATTATATACCTTTATATATTTTTAATAGATTAGATTCTTCCAATTTCTTCCATTGAGCACTGATAATATGCCACGTTGTAACAGCTTCCACACAAGCTCGCATTCGAGCTCTAACAGGACTTCTGATTTGCAAACCCAAACTGCGTACCCCTGTGATGTTCCCAACTCTCTTTGTTAATTTTAAAGAATCAGGAATATATTTAGTTATCTATAAAACAAACATGTCTTCCTTGAAGTACATGCAAATCACATAATGGAAACATTTCATGATGAAATATTACTCACTAATGGACGGAGACCTTTCTCATCACATTCAGAATCTAATAACCAATCTGCAACTTTGGGATCATACACTTCTTTGTCAATGTTTACAGAACAACTTTTATATAATGCTTTATACTGCTCTTTCATATCAAATGCACTGAGAATATATTTCTCTTCACTTGTCATCAATCTCTCAACTAAATCAAGTTGTTCACCAAAAGATACTAATCCTTGACTGCCATCTCCTGGGGAGAATGAAAAAATAAAATGCACTTCCCACAATCAGAATTATTATATAAAAGCAATACCATTGAAATAAAAACAAAATGGTAATATGGATATCTACAAAAACATGAACGTTCCTTAGATCACGAGAGAATGAAACATTCAAATCAATAAGAAAAGAAAAACACAGTTGTAGCATGCACAGTGAAATGTACATGAAGCTATTTCTAAAATTTAATTTAGAGAGAAATCCTTTCTTGTAGTCACAAAATTCATGAATCTAGTAAATGAGCCTTACAAACAATATAGCTATACCAACTATATATTATAATTCTAATAATTGTTCTTACCTCTGGAGTCCGGATTCAATGCAATAAAATAAGTTTCTTTGTCACCCAAACACACACCAATACCAACCACATGGCATTTATCATTAACTAATAATCTTCTCACATTTTCTTTTTTTTTAGATTTTCTTCGCAATATGTTATCACCAATGGATGGTTTAGGAGCATCATTTAACCACTTTTCACAAGCAACTGAAAAGGCTATATGTGAGCATGACTTCAATTTCCGAGTAAACTCTTCAAATATCTTCCTTTCTGCGCACACATCAATAACTTTAAAGGAATCCCATGATGTGTTACTGGAAATCGATGAAACATATTTTAATTTGTTTCCAAATGAGCTATATTTATACTATATTCTCAACACTACTTACCCCTGAGTTTTTATTTTTTTTGTAGCTAAATCAACAGCATCTGCCTGAACTTGTTTGGGATCATATCTTTCTTCAATCCGTTTTCGTTTAAGTGGGGATAATTTCTTTTCATTCTGTTTTTTCCTCCATGTCACGCTATTGCAGGAACTAGACTGATAAGAGCTGGCATCTGATTGACTCTGGGATGATGGAACCAAATCGTTCTCATCTTCTTCAGAATCACTGACAAATGAGAGTTTCTTCCTAATATTTCGAGTATCCTGAAAATCTCCATCCTTCTCCTGTCTTTTGCACTTTGTGCTAAATGGGGAATTATCTTGTGCATTTACAGTGTCCTGAGCATCTGGTAGAATCTTTGCCTCTTCTAATGATTCCCTACTTACACGTTCCTTAAGTTTCTCATTTGACAAAACTATTATTTCCTTGTCATTAAATTTTACAGAGTTTATTTTATTTACGTGACAAGATTTCTTAGGAGTTTCATCAGTATTTTCCTTGCTAAATTTTGGCAAAGATTGTTCTATCAAAGAATCACTTTTGGTGCCATTACCAAAATCACAAATTGTGGTGAAAGCTTGTTTTAGAAACGAGTCTGTAATGCCATCAACAATAGATGAAGCTACAATTGCATTTTTTGTATTCTTCTTTAAAACATTCTCATAATTTATATTATTTTTCTCACAGTTTTTCTCTGAGATGAGAGTGCACCTTTTATCAAGTAACAAACCAGATTTACCCCCATGGTTATATGAAAACACAATGTTTCTGCTACCACTGGATATATCTTTAAACGAAACGTTCTGTTCTATCAATGGATAACCCTTTTCCGCAGGAGGAAGCAATTTCTTTGGTGATTGCAATGCTTTGTTCTTGTCTGGATTTTTAGACAACAGAGCAATATTTGTAATGTTATAAGTAACTTCATTTTTATTTTCATTCTCAAGCATCTTTGAAGATCCTTTACAATTGTCATCTAATAAATTACCAAGATGAGAATCAATAATCAAACTATCATCAAATATAGTTGGACTTTTACAAGTAACTGAAACTGGAGAAGCAAATACATCAAGGCTGTGTCGACTACAAGCACGAGAAGTGTCATAACTTGATGTGGATTTGTTTCCATGAATATCTGCAGTATGTGTCTCTTGGAGGTCATTCTTTGGTTCTTGCAAGTCACTCTTTTTATGCAGAGAATAATTTGTTTCCTGACTATTATCTTTGGACAGATAAACAACATCAGGGCTATTAATTATTGTAGCAGTGTTTGCCAAAGGTAGAGTCACATCTCCTTCTTTCACTGAACATACTGAATTGTTCTTCGAAAGCATTACCCCAACATTTAAATCAGTGTCTTCTTGAGATGTATCAAATATATCATCAAACGGGGATTTAGGAGATATCATTACATTAGATTGTGGATTAGAACTGACTTTTAATGTATCATCATCACTATCACAATTGGATGCCTGGGACTCTTTAACAACAGTATTTGCTTTTAACTGATTTGCTACATTCTCCAAATTGTGGGTATTAGCTTTCTCATGATTATTCAATTCATTTTCATAGAGTTTCAAAGCAGGTTTAGAAGGGTCATCTGGGAAAAATGTGTTAGAGCTATTATCAAGAACCTCTTTGCCAATTCCAGGCTCTTGTTGAGTTGTTTCGTGATCAGACTTATCCAATATTTCATCTTCACTTTCACAAATAATTGTTTCATTTTTAGAATTATATCTGACTCCATTCTTGTTTAAAGCATCCACTTCAACAAGATTAGCAGATGTATTAGGGGTTAAAGATTTTAAATTGTTCAATTCAGAATAATCTGGATTAATTTTTCTGGAATCTTCCTTCACAAAAACAGAATTTGAATGTTTAGTATCATTATGACTGGTTGTATTGGTCTCATCATTGTTATTTCCCCACTTAACATCAACAAGGCCAAGTTCTTGCTGTAAATTAGAAACATATAAAAAGTTTAAAATTTTACAATGAACGGTCTTTCCAAAAAATGCAATATTTTAAATAATAATAATTATTATGAAGATGTTTAAGAATAGAAGTAAAGTAGTTTGAGATAGCACATACCTGTAACCAAACACGCGCTTCCTTTATCAGAAGTTCTGCAGCTTCTCTTTCAGTCAGTCCTTGCCTTCCAGTAATCCAAATAGTCTTTAACTGATTACGATATGCTGCATCGTAAGCGGTTTCACCTTCCATTTCCTTTGATCTATAGATGCGCAGAATATTGCAATTTAAATAATGAAAACAGAACGTGCAACATATTATAAATTAAATCAACAAACAAGTGTACATGCACAAAAGTGGAAACTTCAGGCCAACTTAAAAATGAATTGTAAAACCAAAGAGAAGAATTAGACTAACGTCTGGAAAGTCACACTCTTGTGAAGTGCATTTTCCACTTGACAGATGTCTGCAGACGCCAAGTCTCCTAGCGAAGTGATTCCAGCATTGAACAAAGCTCGAGCTCGAGGACCATTGAGGAGATCAAGTCGCATCAGTTCACAGAGCTCTCTATGAACCCCAAACTGGAGTCTGTCTTGAAACTGGGACACTAACAATTCTAAATTTTTCCAACCTAATCGCTTACAAAAAGCTGTTACCATTCCTATCAACAATTTTCCAGTATTAAATAGATGTTACAAGCAAATTACTTTTAAAGATATATTCATTTGGACTGAGAAGAAATACCTGCAAATGTTGCTGATGTTTGTTGTAAACTTTGTAACATCCCTTTTGAGCACTGAAATTTTGCAGCTACTTCAACTAAAGGGACTTCGTTAACAAGTTCTTGTAAAGCTAATGCTGTATAGAATCTTCGATGAACAGACAATTTATGAAGCTGAAAATGTGCACAACACACCATAATAGATTTAAAGGCATTAAATACATTACAAGTTGTTCTACAACAGCATTTACTTTCTTGCATAATTTGTAACAATTAAATAATATTAAAATACTTGGTCCCATTAAAGTGTTTCCAAAAGGCAAAAACGTTTTTAAAAAAATTTGAACATGGGCAATTTAAAAAAAATCAAAGCTTGAGTTGGTTTTAATGAAAGAGAGTTTAATGAACACTGACTGGACCTGCTGGTATTTTGCCCTTTTTTTGTTATCTAAGTCCTGTAATCACTTCTCCATTTCATTTTGTCACTTAGGACAACGGGCTTTAATTTCTGTTGTTTAATATTTTCCATTTAACTACCACGACTACAAGAGGATTGTTTTGAGAAATTATTTATTTTAGTTGATTTAATATTCTGGAGTTTTAGGAGCCAGTGGCACATACTTCTTTTGTCAGTATATGTAGTACTTGGAGGCATCAGACAATTTCAGTTATATTCAACTTCCTTGTGTTAGTTCTAATTCTTTGCTCCTACTTTCACTAGATTATTATATTTCTTACGAAATGGAGTAAGCTTATTTTTGTCTTTATTCTTAGACACATTACTGTAGGACTTCTATTTAAACAAACCTAAATCAAACAGTTCAAAGCCAACATGTTGAAAGTATTTTCTAGAAATTTTTCTCCTGAAGAACTAGAAATAATCATGTTTTCGACGTAATAAATTTGAATAACATTTTTGCTTACCTGTTTATAACTCTGTAAATTTATGGTGCCCCTGAGAGCTCGTACCATGAAAGCATCATCAACCCCAACAAGATTGCCCACACGCCGCATACTTGGAGGAAGCTTCTCCCAAAGTGACATTATCTGAAATACATAATTACAATTTGCATGCCACAAAAAAGAAAACAAAGACAAGATAAAAGATTACAATGTACCTGCAGCCAATCAAGATTTCCCCACTGAGCAGACACACTGAATGGTGTCACCTGGAAACAAACATAAAAATTTACAGATTCCCAAGAAATTTAGAACTGTTTCAATTTTACAATATATAAAGGAGAAACAGCACAAAGCACTTCTAGATGTTTCTCAATTGGGCCAAGAGCATCATCTTAACTTGCAATGTCATCGAAGGCATAAGCAACCACAAAACTGTTAGATGACTTAGAAATCAATATTTCAAAGAAATGTATTTCAAAAGGAATGGCAGTTTAATAAAGCAAATATACCTCAGAGAACAATATGATCGATTTCAAAGAAAGGGCGGGATGAGTAAGAAATTTGAAACACATTTAAGAGCATTTTTGATAGTGCTAGATGTAGTTAGATAAAAGACATCATAGCGAAGAACATATATATTTTCAAACTTGATCAAAAGAATTAGAGCACGAAAAGAAAAGTAACCAGGAGTTGTATTTAAAGCATTTTCTGGGCAGGGGAGAAATAACTGGTCAGGTTTTTACAAATTTGTTAGAAAAAGAAAAGAAAGCAAAGAAGAAACTTTTATTGTAAAGATACTGACAACAAATCACTATCAGAGAATCGGGAAATGCAAATGCATTTAACACATGCTTCAGTTTGGTTTTCAAAACTAAATCTCATTAAACCTATGGAATATTTGATTACCAGTTACATTAGGCAAGAATGGGAACAAAAAGAATGGCTACTTTAACACTTCTTCGACTCTGTTTCTCCATTATTTATGTCGACTCTGTTTGGGGTCAGATTTGATTCCCACACTTTTTACCGAACAGTTTACACTATATGTCATGCACGGATGCTATTTAGAATAATCAATTAAGAAAATTATGCTATTTATTTATTTTATTTACTGTATTGTCCTAAAACACAAAAAATAATATTTCCAGAAAAACATTCTAACATATCCTCATAATTATACATATGTGTCTACCATACAAGCATGAGACTGTCTGATATAAAGCTACTAACTCATAATAGACAAATACTGCAGATTTTCATTAAGAAACAACAACATAATATTATAGAATGGAAATGGACATGTTTTAGAATTTTTCTCATAATTTAGACGGGTAACCTGGAATCTATTTAAGAGCATTTTTGACCCCAGCCACATAAAACTCAAATTACTTCAAACCAAGAAAACAGAAAAGTTTACAACACATATAAAACTGAACATAAATAGCATATCTAAAAAGAGAAGTTCATATGAATAATTTTCAGTTTTTTGCAAATCATTATTTGCACCTGGAGTCAGAAATGACCCCAAATAGAGGCTAAGAGTTAAAGGACAGTATGGGTTCACAAATGCTTTTTCTTGCAACAGTCAGATAGTAACATTATTTCAGGACATAGCAAATGAAGATGATATCAGTAGGAGGGTCAATGCCATAATAATAGTCTTTGCGATGTTTTTAAAGTCATTTCTCACAACAAAAAAAACTGGTTTGAAAATCACTACATTTGGGTATTGGGATCAGAATGACTGCATAGATTGTTGAACATCTTTGAGATGGGAAACAGAAAATCTGAGTTGGGCAACAGTTTTCATTGTTTGCAAACGTAACATCAGGAATCCCCTAGGAAATGTCTTTGAACCTCTCCTATTCCTTGCATTCATGAATAACTTGCAAAATAATTTTGTTTTGAAAGTATGTTTATTCACAGATGACTGCATAATATAGAGTTATTAATTCAAAAGTAGACAAAGATATGTAGCATGGTGATCTAGATAGCTACACTTCTGGGCAGATACAAATAGCATGGCAATAAATAGTTCAAAAAGTCAAACCATCATGTTTGGAAGGGCCGATAATTACAATAAAATCTGTTACCATTTAGGGAATGAGATCATTTCAAGAGTCATATCTTGTAAGTTATATTATAATAATAATTATTATTATAATTATATTTCAAAACAATTTTAAGTTAAATTAACGTATCTTTATTGTAAGTAAATTATAGTGTTCTGCCAAACTGTTTAAAAAAAACTACTTGCAAAAGTAATAAATATCTCTCATAAAACTCTAAAACCATTTATAGTTGAAAAAATATGTACACAGATAAAAATTTTATACATGATTACACGACTACCTGATAGTGAACATACTCACCAAGTAGATAAGATGTAATTCATTTTCTAGAACAAAGCATTGCCTAGCCTTTTGCAATTCCTGAAAGAGTTCTAATCCATCATCTGGCGACATAGAAGCAGCCAGACAGGCATTGCCCAGAGGAGTTGGTATATATTTTGTAATTTTGTCTTCCGTTAGCTGCAATCGTATACATTCACTGTCCACAAGAAATTTAACACAGGATTCAATAGGATTTTCAAGGCCTACATGAGAAGTGGCCAGCAACGTGCAGTTGGTGTAACACGCCAGTTGCTCTGGAGTTTCAGCAACTCCACTGGCAATGACCTAATAAGATCAGAATTGATTTTTACAAAAATGTTACAGTTCCAAGTAACATAAATATTGGTATTACATCATTACCTCCAGAATTGCCCGCTTCAAACTTGAAGATAGTTCACCATGACCTAAACAACTTTCAATAGGTCTCAAACCATCTTGAATTAACTCTTCACCAACTTTTTGTTCAGATTTATTGCAGATAAGAAAGCTTTCACCTAAAGTCATACCATAATTTTATTAAAATGTGGCACAATTAGTCTACATTTTATAACCTCATTTTCTTAATATTAATTTTCATTCCACAATGAACTGAATGCATTTTAGATAAACAAGAAAAAATAAATAATAGTATTTTAGTAGTTAATACACACTAGACAACAATAAATAGATTCACAGGCACAATATGAATTAATATTGCAATAAAACTATTTCCTTTACCACCCAGGCTAACCTTAGTCTACACAGTACCTACAACAGGTTGGTCAGAACCCAAAGATAATTCAAGTCACTTCGTACAAGTCAACTTATAAAACAATTTTTAAAATCTAAAGCAGCAAAACATGCAAAGCTTACCTAAATATTAAGCTGTAGCAATAACTGTAGTACATACCTCAGTCATTCTGTATGATACTGTAAATATACACCATATATTGCATCTACGTTACTTCATACATTGGTTTATCTGTTCAAATCTCCTATTCTACATTCTCAGAGGTAGGGAAAAAGTTTTTATAAAGATTTAAGTAATTTCTTTGCTGGTATAAGATAAAAAAAAAATTTAGAACAGAGTAAGAATGTCAGGTTTCCATGGATATGTATTACAAGGAATTTAATTAATCGGAAATTTCAAAATTAGAGTTTTATTTACTTTGATGTGATTAAGACTACTGGGGTTTCCACAGGGGAAAAAAATACACACAAGTAGAAAAAAGTCTGACTGATCTATCTACCTTGTTACACTATTTACAAAAATCTTACACGCGAGGAAAAACAAAACTACATACAGTGTAAACTCTCTATAATAGAAAACTCCGTATTACACAGGCATACTGGAGTTCAAATGAGATACCTTACAATCCATATATTTCCCCATATAATGAAAAAATGTACTCCGTCCCTTGAGTTTCAATATAAACAGTTTACACTGTAATTACAACTACAAATATTAAAATGCAGCAAAAGACTGACTTATACATCAAGGCAGAGCAAAACTACAAAAAACTTGATATTTAGAATGCACAGAATTTTTCTATGATACAAGTAAGCACAAAGAGGGAATGTTTCAAAATTCATCCTCACAAGGGGTGAAATAGATTTTGTGTGTGTGTTTTGTTTGTTTATTTAATGCTTTGAATCCAAACATTACAGAATGCAGGGAAGCAGTGCACATGGGGCAAGACAAAGCAGGGCAAGTCAGGACTGTGACGAGGTGAAAAGAAAATGAAGGTGACAGGGGGCACACCAGAGCATGGAGGGTGGAGTGAGCCAGATGGATTACAAGGAGGAGGTAGAGTGGGAGCGGGGGTGACGCGAGGTTGGAACTGCAGGGATGCAAATAAAAATACTTTTTTTACACTATTGATAGACCTCCAGAGCTTGCATTCCTTTTCCTCTTTCATAGATAATTATTATAAGTAAGTGGGTAAAGGTGGGTTTCTTCAACTAGTTCTGTTTAAAATAAGAACACAGTTGACCTTTCAATATTTACAAACAATATTACATGCATGCACTTACATCTCAACATAACACTACTATTTACAACTGTCTGAGAACAGTAATTGGTGTCCAGAATAACTCCCATTCAAATATCAGTTATATTATTCCATAAATCAAATAATACTTGCATGAATATACTCTCAAAACTTTCACATTACATTTCATCCCAATACAGAATTTGCATCATAGTTGAATAGTTTGGTTAATTATTGGGTTGGTATGAAAGTTTAACAATTTCATTGCAGGCACTTGGTGTCAAGCTTTGTTACTTTCTGTTCAGTTTATGTCTATGTTGAATTCAAAATGTATTTTTATTTGTTATGTAATATTTATTACATTATCAACACATATATTAAATGAATTTGGTTAGAAATTAGTAAAAGCTGTATTTTTGAATACGTGTTATTGACATACACACTTTCTCCCTGCACCACTGTTAATATGTCATGCACTTTGGAAGTGAATGTTTCAATAACACAGTGAACTCTCCTTATCAGAACACGGTGTTATGATGTGCTTGCAAATGCAGCCCCATTAAGAAATGTGCATCGTGGCAAATTAATTTTTGTTCCAACTCAATACTTGAAATACAATATCAATAGCACAAGACCCTCGAAGAAAATAAGCAATCATGCATTACAGAACATACATGTACAAACACCTCACACAAAGCTTCAAAGGAACAACATGTACAAGTCTCAGCATAGATGTTACATGTTATACACCTATCCAAGAACTAGGTTTTACACAATGCAGTAGTACTAAAATTAGACGTTAAATCACCCTCGGTGTCTTTTCCCATGCGCCCAGCTCTGCCAACCATCTGTTTGTAGACCTGAACATCAAGAGGTTTCCTATGAAAGACTGGTGTTCTTATTAAGACTCTTCTTGCTGGTAAGTTAACTCCAGATGAGAGTGTTGAAGTAGCTGTTAATACTCGTATTACACCTGAGCGAAATAATCCCTCTATTATGTCTCGTTCATCTATTGTCAAACCTAAGAAACAAAAAAAGCAACACCAAGAAGAATTAAAAAACTAGTGGTGCTACAGCAGCACAAATGTTCTCATAATACTGCTATAAGTTACATAATATTATAACATTGCAACTTCTATCTTACTAAATATCACCCTTCTTTTGAAAAGTCACGTGGCAAAACACAAAATTACACAAAAATGACTTACATTTTGAAAAAACTGTACATGAAATGATTTAAATATCTATTTTTGGTTTATGCATTCCCCAATACAGATTTAATACAGAGAATTGCATTAAAAAAGACATCTCAAGCTTCACTATTGAAGGTGTAGGAAAGAGTGAAATAAATTTTTCAACTACAGCCACTTTTAAAGATGCAAAGAGGTTTTATTGAACATTGGACCTGCATCACTAGTAGAGAACTTCACTCTATATGAAAAAAATCTAAAGAAATTTTTGGTGCCATTTTTGAGAAAAGTTTGAAAATGTCTACAGGGCTTCATGAAATGTTCTACAGGACTTAACAATTTATGATTGTTTCAAATCCCAGAACCCCTGGTATCAGTCAAAGGAAAAAATCATCATCATCATCATCATCATAAACTGCAGGTTGCTACACCTCTTGCCTGTTCCTGTTTTCCAGGATTTACACCTCCAGGTGTTCCTGATCTAGCCAATTGTTTTGTGGCCTTCCCATATCCTTTCATCTTATGGTTTCAACACTGCTTTTGGTAATCTTTCTTGTTTCATTATGTTAAAGTGTGAGAGCCATTTTCTCTGTTCATTCTTTATTTTTACTTTTGTGTATACATATGTATATACAGAGAAATATATGCAGTACAGGACAAGTTAAGTAATGCTGGGGAAAATCAATTTTGAGATATCAATGCAAAAACACTTTTTGGGGAGCCCTGATACAGAAAAGTGGTTGTTTTCAAAATGCCTGTCTGTCTGTAAACATCGCTAGCACACTTATAAAGGTGGAATAGGTCCGATTTTCATAGATAACTGACTTTTTGATAATTTCAAAATTTTTCGGGTGCCTTTCTACCACTATAAAATTGAAGATAGAAATTTTTTGCTTCAAATAAAATTTGTTCTCCATAGTAAGTTCTTTCACTAAAGATATGTAAATTTTTTTAAAAAGTTTTAGTAGTGTTTGGGCAATATTGGCAATTCAAAAAAATTACAAAAACAAGATTTTATCAAAAACGGCTCCAAATTTTTCAAAGAAAACGACACTTGGGTCGAGGTTTTATTGCTCTTTAATATTCTTAAAATAATATTTCTATTCTAGTATTAGGAAACCAAAAAATTAGGAAAATTTCAAAAAATGTACTTCGGGCAGTGATAGATCGCAGCTGGCACGATCATGTGGCAAGTTCGAAGACCTAGCCAAGACTAAAGGAAATAGAAAACTATATGGGAATGTCTGTGACATTCTGTAGTACCACTACTTGAAAATAATAATATTGTTTTAAATAATAAACAATATTTCTTTTTAGTCCATGTGGATACATAAAAAGATACAGAAGTCTGCCAAACAAACTAAATATTTTGATTTTTTAATGCATCAAGACATCACACCAATGGGGCCAGTAGCCAAACTGCTTAACTATGGACCATGAAGTCACAGAGGTTAAGGAGCTCAAGACACTGAGAGTCTCTGGATGGGTGACCTTTCAGAAATAGGAGAATGCTCCAGGATTTATTTATAGACAGTCAATTTGTTTGTTTTTTAAGTTTTTCGTAAAGACAATGACCAAATGACTATGTTCAAGAAGAATTACTCCACCTTCAATGCCAAATAAAAGCTTGGAACATTATAACAAAATACAAAAAAGAATGTACTGTACCTGCATGGTGAAATGCAACACCAAAAGCAATAGACTTTGCAAGTGCATGGTCTAATCCAACAGGACATGCTTTTAATTGTTCCAATGCTTCTGCAATAGCCTCTGACTTAAGCTGCTCGCGTAATTTCAAGCCAATGTCAGAAGAATCACTTCCTGAAGAATCATAACATAGTTTTCATAATTATCAATGGCACGAGAAGTGTAATAAGACTCTGATTTTGGTGCCCTAAAGATATTTTAAAAATCTATAAAACAACATTAGAACCAAATAAAATAGCCAAAACTGCAAAATTTTACAAAAAAAACATATTGGAACTTTTTTTCCAATAGAATCAACAAACATCAGTTACCCATACAATTCTTAGTCTCTAATGAACATAAAAACAATTTTTAACCAGCAAAATGTGGGCTATTCTAAACTTTTGATAGTAGGACCTTCAGTACTATCAACATGCCATAATATTACTTAACAGTTTGTGCTGCACATCAAATGGATGTCTTTATATAACAGGAAGGGGAGGTCATTGATTGCAAACTGAGAAAATTGTAATTTTAAAAATGCAAAACCCACTTTTTGGTAAGAAAATGTATTAGGAGAACTTTATTACTATTTTACAACTACATATTTCATTAATATCTGCTACTCTTCAAATCTTCATAATTAAAAATGGAGGTTGATTCTTTTTAAACAAATTATATTATTATTTTTATAAAAGGAACAAAGAGAAGTTTAGCAGTATATAACTGAGTATTAGGTTCAAGAAAAAGTAAATGAATTAATATATGTAGTTACATAATTGCATACATGCATAAAATAAATATATGCATCGGAAACATGACATATTATTAATGGATTTATTCAACATATTCTATGATGAAGTCAGCGACCATTACAAAACTATCTATGTCATCTTCCACTTCCATGCTGGAATTAAGATTGTCATAAAACGGGCAGTCATTGCTTGGTATGAAGTGTCAAAAAGAACCGACATCCTTAAGCTTTTCTTTGCTTATTAACCTTCTTTCAGGCCACAAGGAAATCAACATAGCCATTCAAAAGCTGTCTGATTGCCTTTTCCCAATATCCACTTGAATAAAATTGTTGGGAATAGTTAGTTTTCATGTGCAATGCAAATGGTTTGCTTCTCTCAAGTCCAATTGCACAAACTGTATGCCTAGTAGTAATAACTTTTTTTTATTTTCTTGGTACCTTTGAAGTCGACACCCATCTGCATTCGTGTCAAATATACAACTTTCGTTTTGAGACTTCTTTCTTTATCTCAATGTAGTCCTCCAAGGTATACATACAGTTACAGTTGGGTTTTTGAGGACAGATTCCACATTACGAAAATCAGAATTGTTTGGGAGAAAACTGAGCCCTAAAATGACATACTTTAACATCACATAATTCAGCATGTGTCAATAGTCAAACAACATATTTATTATAAGAACCATTTTTCTGTTGATTCTGATCACCACACATATCAGACCGTAAAATAAGATGTGTCATGTTTCTTCCAATGTTGGTAAGAATGCTTTGGCAAGAAGGAGTCAACTTCCTGAGCACCTCAACCGGCAGTGCCTTCTACCCAAACATTAAAGAAATTTTTGTTTTCTTTTCCAGAATGGATCCCAGTGTTATACACTTAAATCTACCTCTTGTAAAAATTAAGATTTATTGTGTTTCTCGGAAAGAGCAATCCTTTTTCCATATCATAATATTAGGTTCCTTTTCTAGAAAAGTCATCTAATATTTACTGTAAACAGAATCATATCCCAAATATCACTTGGTTCTGCATAAATAAAATAAGATAATGACAATTGTTTTGTGGTTGATTCAACCTTTTGCAACTGGCTGCACAGACCAGGCATCTCTTCCAATATTTACATACAATATTATAAGTTTTGCAAGTTCAAATTTGTGTATATCTCAGAATATTAAAAATAGCACTTGGCTTATTTTATATAAAAGCCACCCATATATTGCACTAAGATGAGACAGCACACACTCTTTTTGCTGTTTTTCAATTGCACAAGAGATATCCCTTGTGCAAACCTAACTTAATGAATTTTAAAGTTATGAGTCTAATATTTTTTAATGCTTTGCAAGAAAGTGTAATTTTTTGGAAGAACTTTCAAAACCTTAAAAATAATTATAACATTTTCAATGCTTGACCCATTTATGCACTAAATTAACTGATATTTAATTAATATTCAGCCAATAATCAACGTAATTTTACATATTAAAGAGAGATAAAAAAACTCACCTATTCTGAAAAATTCTTTTGCGATGCTAATGGCCAATTTTTCACACCAATTTTTTGTAGGACAAAAGATTAAGGATGAATATCCATTTAAGACTGTTTCTAAGCAGAGATAAACTACATGGTCTGAGTCATCCTGGAAGATAATAAATGTTGAAAAGACATTTACAAAATAATATTTGTTTAAGTTTAAATTTATATAGCTTACATAAAGGCTGTAATATTAAGTAGGAATCTTTCTTTATACAAGATATGTTGTAAGAAACAAGAAAATACTTTGATTTAACTTTCTAAAGAGTTATCACACATTTCCAAAGGCAATTTGAATTACACTTCAGATTCATAAACCAAAATTGCAATTAATTTCAATTCAAATACATATTTTAAGTTAGGTTTTTATCAGTATTTGAAGAGAAATGTTAATTATGGCCCGAGTATCGCCATGTAAAATAAGGCATTAGTTCAATTCAATTCAATTATTTCCACCGTAATTTATTCCAATTATATTGCATATGTGTTTAAAGAAATAAAATAATATTGTTACCTGAATATTATATTTTGATTCCAAAGTTCTTTTCACTTCCAAATTTTTGGTGAACACTCTAGAGCCTACTTTCAGATATTCATTTAAAGGAATTGGTCTGAAATCAGTTTTATAAAGACGGGCATCTAGCCAAGAAGCTAATAAATCCAGATTTGGCAGTGTTGCTGACATTCCAACAATTTGAATATTTACATCATCATTCCTGCAAAAACATGAGCTTTTATACAATACTGATTAGATGTTGAAGATTTGAAATATTATAAAAAAGAAATCAGAACAATTACATTGTACTCATATAACGTATTTTTGTTATTAACAATTCCAATAAGTATCCACGAAATGGATCCCCAAGTAAATGGAGTTCATCAACAACAACAATTCCAATTCTTTGCAAAGAATCTTCCTCCATTAACCTGAAATATAAGCAATGTAATTTGATAATTGGATGAAAATTTCAATCAAAAATTGTTTATTTAAATATCAAAGTTACCTATTTATTAATCCATTAGCCTTTTCAATGGTACATACAGCAATGTCAACATTCTTAATACCTCCATGAACAGAATGGCCCCCCATTAATCCTTCAACTCTGACTCCACTGGTTTCAAGAAGACTCTAATAACAAAACAAACATTGCTCATGCCATACACTCTACAATTCTATGAACATTATTTTTTGTTATAATCTTTGTCTAATATTAATTTCTTGTTTAACTTTCTTCACAAGAGCACAAACTTTTAAATACAAGCAATTATTACTTCACATTTGAAGACATGTAAGTACATAAATTCACTTTACCTTAAAGTAAAACATTTTCTCACGAACTACCGACACAAATGGCAGAATAATCACAGCTTTTTTCTTCTTTTCTAAAACTGCTTTTATTGTCAGTAATTCAGCTACCAAAGTTTTTCCTGAGAAAATTAATAAATAAATATAGTTAACCAGTTTTGTCTAAGTATTTTTTGGTTAATAGCTGAAGAGCTTTTTGATCATGTAATATTCGCACAAGATATCATTTCAATAAATTATTAGTAAGATAAGGAAGAATTATTATAAGAAACCCCTAAAATTTATATCTTAACAATTATCTACAAATACAAATATTTATTATAATATATTTAAATTTATTAAATGTTTAAAAATATAACAAATGTTTACTATTGATAACATCACATACTCAATTTAGGTACAAAAAAGAGTATTTAAACTTAATATAATGGACATTACCAGCAGACGTTGGGGCTGAATAAACCAAATTTCTTCCTTCTAAAACATCCTCATGACTTAAACATTCCACTTGCCAAGGAAACATCAATTTAATTCCATGTGCTCCATATTGCTGCAATGTGAAATCTTCACTTAACACAAAATATTTCACATTTGAGAGAATATTAAAATGGAAGCAAAAATATACTCTAGCAAACATACAATCATTAGAACAATAATTTCCTAGAAAAATAACTAGAAAGATACAAGCATCAGGGGAAGGTTTTGACACTGAATATTTTTCTGTCTCAGCAAGAATCTTCTCTATATATAATACCTCAAGGACGTATGATGATTAGAGATAGTAGATTTTAGCAATTGCTAAAAATGCAAAATGTTACCAAACATTGAAAAAATTAGTAATTGTATGTTTGACGGTTGGTGCAGTTTACTTCTGAAGGTTTTAAATCTGTGATAAAATGCAAAATGACCATGAATCTGTGATATAATTGCAAAATTGCATTTTGCATTTTATTGTTTCCTTCACATTCACTATCTACAGATGCGACATTGACAACTACACACTGACATTTGAATATATTTAATTTGAGAGAGGCCTCGTTTTTTAATTTATAATTAAAATTGAACTGATAAAACATACAAAAGAAGAATTTAAACAAAACAGACACCTATCATGATAAAATTAAAGGGACTATCTGATATTCTGTTCAATTTAATTTTCAGATTAAAATGTTTTTGTTATCAAAGGATGGGGAGATATGCCTATCCTCCCTCTAGATTCACCATTTTATTAGTACAGAGAAGCATATTTTTAAACATCTTCTCCACAATAATAATTAAGTTCCTTTATCTTTAATCAACAAAACCTAGAATCATATTCAAATATCAAGGCAGATATAAAACACTTTTCATTAAGTTATTTACAAAGTGGCTCATTATAAAAATATTAAACACACAATAAGATAATAGGATTTAAGTATATTAAACGTTCAAGCATGTAATCACGTGATTCAATTTTGCAATATTGCTACATATAATAATTAAAACAGTTAACTGCTATTTTGCTGAAGTAGTGTTGAAAACAACTAGATAATGATTTCGAATAACAAGTTATACCTCAGATATGGAGAAGACACTTTAATTATCTTGCCCCAAAATCAGATAGCCTCATTTATAACCAAATTTAACAGTTATTGAAGAAAAACTCACACTAGGAAGTGAAAAAAATTTTAAACAGAATTTTCTAGATGTTATATTTATCATAATTATTGTAAATTAAGAACCAACTGGTTTCTGAAATCGGAATATGTAAGTTTGACACTCAACTTCTTATCTACTCACCCACTATTTATAAAGAAAATGGATACCTGGAATTCACAGATTGAGCAATGAAATTATCTTCATCAAAATATCATACAGATTTTTCATTGAAATGACTAACCCCTAAATTTCAATCAGAAGATGATAAAATACATAAAACAGATAATAATTGCTAACCCTACATCTTCAAGCAACAAATCAAATGATCATTTGGTTAATAATTCAAATACTTATAGTTGTGTTTCTTACACAACTAGCATTCACAAAATATTGACAGATGAATTAAATATTAAAACCAGTCAACAGTACTATAAAACCTAAAATCATTGTGTATAATTTTTAAGACAAAAGATTAAATGAAGAAATACATAACACTGCATACAAGATTGATTGTAATGACTGTCCTAAACCACATGTAGGCCACACCAATCATGAAGTTAAGACTAGAACTTAAGAACATCAATGCAATATACATGAATTGTCTCAACATCATAACTAGTTGACATTTCATAGATTGCCAACAGCCCATGAAATTAGACTCCAGACTAGTTATGGAAACATTACACATTAAATCTACAAATTCCCTCAATGCTCAGGTTGGGTCCAATAATTTTATGTTTATATGATGGCCTTCTACCAAAATTTCGTAATTAGTAAAGAATTTTACAGTAAGTCCTGTTAAATCTTTTGTTCTTTTTGACAATTTTCAACTCTTATAATCTTGTTTTTTTAAAATCATGTTTTTTTGTTTTGTTTTGACTTTTGTTTTATAATAATAAGTTAAAGTTATAGTTATAGTTATATTCTTTTTTTCTTGTTGCACCCTCCCAACATGATTCCCTTTCTTTATGCCCACTCCCATTTTTTGTTACATAACGGTTTTGTTCATTTCTACCCTTATTAAGTCTATTTCTCTTCTTAGTGTGTCTCTGTCTGTCAACGTCTACAGACCAATTCGTTTCTATGGACATGAAGATCTCTGTGAGCATTCAGTTTCTTGTTCAGTTTTTATATATGAAAACGTCATAAACTGCATATTTACTTAGTGAATCGGTTTTAAATTTCAATATATTCATGCATCTTTTTTTTACATGATAAGATCTCTCAGTCACTAAAAGAAAGTATAATATTGTATGTATTTCTAATGAATTACTTTTATAGTTTCACTGATATTAAGAAAAGTTTTAATTTATGTCTGTTGCAGCCTGATGAAGGGGATCAATACTTTACCTCCATGAAACATTACTAAATCAATTCTTTTAGAACTGACACTGTTTTTTTTTTAATTAAAACACAACAACTCTGTATTTTGGCATTTTGTGATTTTAATTAAACCTGATTGTCATGTGTTTTGTGAGTTGTTAAATATAACACCTCTTTCAACAGATTTAACTCTGATTGACTTCTAACTCTTTAACAATTTAACTCTTCTAACTCCCAACAAATTTTTTTAATAATACACAATAACAGGTTTATTATTAAATAAAACATAATAAACTATTTATGAATATCAGTAATCATGTGAAATTTATAAATTAGGTAACTTACAAATAAAAATACTAACCTGTAAAACAGGATCTGGAAGTCCCCACAAAGCAAGATCACATTTCTGCTGAGTACACAGTGGTGACGAACTTTTTGCAGTAGATGCATTTAATTCAGAATTATTTTCTTGGTTTCTTATTGATGTTTGGATTTTTGTCGCAGGTGATAAATGTAAATCTACTTTTCGGTTTTGTGACAAAATTAATGATGTATTTTTCAAGTTAACTTGCTGTTTGGGGGATAAATCATTAACTAATCTACTTATTTCTAGCTGATTGATTGCAGCAATTGTGTCATCACCAAACGAGAGTAAAGGTTCATCATGTAAGGTATTAGTTTCTTCATTACACTTCATTATACACTTATTATTTACAAACAACACGCGACTTTCCGGCAAAATTAGCCGTATACAAAAATTATCCCACCACAAATTTTATGTCATAACCTACATGAAACATTACTTTTCATTGCAGAGTGTGCAAACACATTACATTGTCCATCTAATGGTTGTAAACGCTTTGAAAACATATCAATAATATTTACGTCACACTAATAATACATGCAGATAAAATATACAATATTCACAACTTAAGTTGAAAAATTTTGGACATCTCATATTTAAATCTTGACGCCATACTTTCGGCTTTCTAGCCTCATCTTTGAAACAGTTTCGCCAACAAGAAAATATAATGTACCGTTATACCATATATTGTTACGTAATAATTAAAGATTACAGTCCAACTTTGAGTTTTAAAAGAATTAACAAATATTATTCTGTTTCCAACACTTTGTAATAACACAGAATTATTCAGTGTACATTGATTTTGAAACAACCTCAATTGATGTATCGTTGGTACCTCGTTCAAGTCCAACAGGGCTGCAAGTACAAAACAAGCATGTCCGCTCTCTGGAATTGCTCGGCATAACCTCAAAACGATAATCTATGATTAATTGTTAGCATTTTTTGAGTTGTGAGTAAAAATGGCCAATAGTAGGCTGGAAAGGTTAGGAACAATCTACTCTCGGTAAGTTTCTTCTTCATAACTATGATGTAGCTATTACTTTTGTTTTGAATTACTACCATTAAATGATACTATTAACAAATCATAATAGTAAAACCTTATTTTGTAATTTGACGTATGCCACCAATGCATAGAAAAATGACAAAAAATTGACATATTGCTGGAGAACAGTTTATTTCGCGGCCATATACTGTTCTTACTCTATTCATTTGTTGTCTTTTGAACTGTCTTCATAAACTATTTACCAGTAATCATTTGTGAAATGTCTTATTATTATTATTATTATTATTTAGGCACACTTTTGTGAAATGAGCATCACTATAAATATTTGTGATGGAACTTACGTAGTTTTCATTCATTGTGCTTGGTGAATTATACCTTATTTTCATGATATGATTTCATTGTATGTGATTTGTTGTTTATTTTAGAGTATCTGGTCTTTTACGTGCACAAGCAATGAAAGAAGAGGATAAACCCTTATGGTTTGAAATCTACAAAGCATTTCCACCTGAACGAGAGCCAAAAATAGATCACCCTATTCCAGAGGTGCCTATAAAACCAATTTTGTATGCTGAAGATATTATTAGAGCGTAAGTGAATTTGGTTTGCTAAGGGGTTGAATGTGTCACATTTTAATTTTTATATAACCTTTATACAAATCTTTTCTCTCCTTCCGCTTCACTATTTATTTATTTATTGTCATGATCAATATATTCTTTGAATTTACTGAATGTCTTTGCTTTGAAACCTTATCAGCAGTTTACAGTTTATTCTTGCTATTATTTTACCATCCTTATCGCTGAGAATATCACATTCCTTAATTTTCATCTTATGGAACTTCTTCTTGCCTAAAATATGAAAAAATACTTTTTAGATCGCTGACATAATAAATGTTAATATCATTTTGTTACAATGTATTCTAAACTTTAATTCCTGATGTAAAATATTTATTGTACTCTCTCTTTTAGGAAATTTCATAAGGGAAACAAATTTATAAGGATGGTGAATCTGAGTGATTCAGTTCGTCCCAGCCCAACACAGCAAGTGATATCCATTTTCAGTAGATTGAAAAGTGAAAGAGCAGGGGAGAGTGAAGATCAACTCTATGAAGAAGCTCTTGATATTTTGAACTCTCAGAATGTCAAAATGACTGAAACTGAACCCCGTGAACAATCTCAATCCTCCTCATTAGTTGATTCGTTCACTGCAGCAAAGAAAAAAGATTCAAATATTAATATCAAAAACATTTTAAAAGAATCTTAAGCATTTCCAAAAGATAAGTTATTTTAGTCGCGAGATAAATAAGTACTATGTAAAAAAATGACATTTGGTAAGCGACTGTGAAGTGAATGAAAATGCTTTATGGAATTTTGTTCCTTAAACTGACCAATTACTTACACATGTTGAAACCTTGTTTGGTCATGGCTTAATTTGCATACTTTGTAGTGTTGTATTAGTGGATAATATCAGTAATGTAAATAAAGAAATTTTCTCTGTACCAAGAATAGTTTTTACATAGCAATTTGTGCATGAGAATAGCTCCTTAACTCACCTCCTAGATTAGTTGGAGAACTTTTGGAGGAACGCTATTCTTGTAATGTGAAAACCTTTGCTGCCATGTGGTGCCGTATGGTATCATGTTTCCAGTGTGTCATGCCTGACACCCCCATCGGTTTGAATTTGCCGTTAGTTTGTGAGACTTGGATATATGTTAATGTTTGTGAATGTCTCAGGTTTTGCATCATGTCTTATCACTGTAGAAGCAAAACAATGTTTCATTCACGTGTAGAGTACCCTTATTAATTTCAATGTTTAGTATGCTTGCCTGTTTTTTGCATTTCATGTTTCTATCTAGTGAAAGAAGGATGTCTGCAAAGAAAGTTTCAGAGCAAGATACACATGTGTTATTAGAAGAGGCAGATAGTGATGATTTTAGTATGAATGATGATTTGAGTTTGTGCTGGAAGAAAGTGAAGTAGAACTTCCTGGCAGTGATGTTGAGTCTGATGAGGGTGTGGAGGGGGCATCTTCTAGTATGTGCAGGGTGAGTGTGTGGAGCAGCTATTCAGGTCAGCAACAGCAATTCACCCTGTTGATCAATATACAAATTTGGGGGCGAATCATGAGACAGTGAAACCTCATGATTTCTATCAATTATTTTTTGAATTGAATTGAATGAATATGCCTTATTTTACGTGGCGAGACTCGGGCCATCAGGCCCGCTCTTCCGTCTGACCACGCAAATTTCGCTACGCTCCTTTCACCAACTAGGAGAGTAGGAAGGAGGTATTTCTTGGGCGAGAAACAGGCGATTTGAATTTAGCTCAGAGGCGTCATTTAGGCTTAAGGATCTTTTACATGCAAGTAAATCTACGAACATGGGACAGCCGGCTTTACTTCCCCTCCGAAGGAAGGCGTACGAAGGATTTTTTCGCCCTTAAAAATCCACGGCTTCGATCGGGTTTGAACCCGCCAACTTGGGTACAACAGTCCAGTACGCTAACCGCTACTATTTTTCACCGGTGATTAATTGAAATGATGGTTGAGGAAACAAATTGAAATGCAGCTCAGGTGATTCAAAAAGCCAAATGTTACAGCCATCTATATGAACTCCGCTAGACTACTACTAACTACTCTACTAGACATGAAAAAGTTTCTTGGGCTGAGAATATAGATGGGTATTTTGAAAATGCTTTCTACTGGTAGTTATTGGAACTATGTACTCCACTAGTCTTCCACAAAGAACAATGCCAAGGAACAGATTAAACATTTTATATACATTTCAGCATTTTAGTGACAACACAGAAGCAAAAGAGAGAATTGACAAAGTGAGATCCCTTGTGAAAGCTATTCAGGGAAATTTTGTTCAAAAGCATTCCCCAGGAGAATGTGGTTGCTCAGGATAGTATGCCATTTCTCCAGAGGGAGTGCACATTTGCATTTGGCAACAAGTTGGGAAGATAAGTAAATAATAGAAAATACAGAGAGAATAGTAAATGAGACTAGCAACACATTTTGTTACCATCAGAGAAGAACATTTTTTAGAAAATGGATTCCCAAATTTTACGCAAAAAAGAGGCAAAAGCTATTTTCAAAAAATTGCATGATGTGATGTAGTGGAGTATGTGTAGGTGTGAGACACAAAGGGTAGAGAACGAGGAAGGAAAGATCGCGCGCGGTCCACAGCCGATTTGGTAAGGCATTGCTCTGATATCTGCCTCGTACTGATCGGAGTTATACGAAAAACTACCGATCAGAGCAGCCGGACGCTAGAGGAGGTTCAATTCCATCTTCTAGCCAATTCCTGGCTCCGTTCAAAGCGTTCTATTGGGACTAAAGCTTCTAATAAAAATTAGAGGATTTATTGATGATTTCGGGCGCGTTAGTTGCTAATGTCATTAGTTCCGTAAGTATAGTGCTTTTCCTCGGATGGTGAGATGTGGCGCCGACCTACCTATCCTGCGATTTTTGCAACTCTGCCCCTGGCAGATATCATCAGCTATTGACGGTTCCTTGCAATCGGGAACTTGAACTTCACCATAGTGACCTTGAAACTCCCGATTGGATGAAACGTCAACAGCTGATACCTGCCAGGGTGGGAGTTGGAAAAATCGCAGTATAGCGGGGTACCTCCCACCAGCGGCGCTGCGCCCGAGCCAGGAAAAGCTCTTAACTCCCGGTCTCCCGGCATGTGTGGCATTGTATTGCATGTAAGTGTGGGTGTGTGTAAGTAAGGGGTCAGGTTAGGACAAGGAAGTGAAAGGAAGATCGACGCGGTCCATGGCCCGTTTGTTGGGTTACTGCCCCGGCATTCGCCTGGTGTTGATTGGAGAAATCACACAAAAGCATCAGAGAAGCCGGTCGCCAGAATTCTCCGGCGGAAGCGGTTGAATTCGACCTAGCTCTCTAACCAGCGTCGAAAATCCTGGCACCGTCCAAAGCGTCCGATTGTGACTATAGCGTCGTAATAAAAATAAGTCTAAGAAGAAGGAGGCGAAGTGGAAGCTAAAAAAGGAAAAAAAACAGCTGGAGGTGGGGGCGTGCGTCTCGCCCCCCCCCCCGGGGGGGTGAGGCGAAGCGAGGCGCCGTGGCCTTCAAGGGTCAACGCTGCGCTGGCCCCCGCCCAGAACAGGACCACGCCCCCGCCGTGCTCCGCCCCGCGCCGCGCCCGCTGAGTTCACGAGCTCCTAAGCCAAGCCGCGCACACGAAGATTTTCGCTACGCTAAGCGCTTAATGGGCCATTAATAGGTGGTAGTAGTAGGTAATCCATTTTTAACATTCATGCAATTTAAGAATACAAACCTGAAAGCCTGCATGGATGATGCTAAAAAACAACGGAAACTTGCATTTCTGCGCTTTATTAGATGTTTGCAATAGTCATGCTTGCGTTATAATCTTAAGAGGCACCTTTTAATTTATTTTGTATTTATTTATTTTACAATAATTTATTCTACAAATAAACACTACAGGAACTACAGTGGAACCTCGCTTATCCGAACCCCGCAACTGCGAAATTTCGGTTAATCCGAACAAATTTCGAGATGGAAAAGTAAACAAAATGCTTATTTGTAGTTTAAAGAAAGGATTTTATAATTATTGTAGGACTGAACAACAAATTATTGAAACACAAGTTGTCGAAATGAAACCCTTATAGCCACTGGTAACTACGATGTACATCACATGTTTATGTAGCAGAAATTTTCACTTAAAGGAACTCGCAAAATTGGTAATCTTTCAACGTAAGGAACTGAATCTGCTTGTTGATGCGATCGCTACGCTACGATGTCATTTTCTCACATCGCACGCTACGTTGCATTGTCTGGTAATCCTATGGATGTATTTGTAAATGTACAGTCCTTTTTTTGTATAATACGAACATTTGCGGATCCGAACAGACCACACCTCGAATTAGTTCGGATTATCAGGGTTCTACGGTACTCTTAATGCAACACACTGCGTCTCGTAACCGAATGCTGATAACGTCAGGTGAAAACAGAGTAGATGAAAACAAAAATTAAATCACTGCAGGTCATAAGATCACAGAACATTAACAATGTGTATAAAGGCAATTACAATAGAAACGGAATGTATAATTTTAATATACGCTTCATCTTGCGCGTGTAAACCCCTTTGTGGATTATAAGGTGATGCGAGTGCTGAGTCAGGGGATGTTGCCCGTGTCCATAGGAGCGCCGGGCTCCTGAGGCGGGCAAGTAGCTCGTGTGGGCGCGTGTGACGCGCCAGGTGTACATTGATCAACTTTCCTGGAATGCTGTTAAATTTTGATTGATATTAAAAAGATATCCCTTTTCCTCCAAACCAGCAATTTTTATTGCGTCATACTTTTCCCAGCGAAAACATGGCAGTTAATGTTCGGCTCGCCTAATGCTGAGTCCAGAGTCGGCGGTAGATGTTCCCGGTCTGCTTAGTGCCACCTACTGGATTGCGAGGTTGGCGTGGCCATCAATGCCGCGAAAGTAGTTGCGGTCTGCGGTGAATCTGGTGACAATGCTGACTACGACGGACGAGAAGATGAAAAAGATGAACGAGGACAATAGGTGGGGGGAGCGAAAGAGAGAGAAAAGATGAAAATGAGATCGAAAAACACTAAACGGGGAAGAAAAGGAGCTTGATGGGGAGAATAAAAATAAATGGGCAAGAAGGAATGAAAATAGTTTTATGAGAAATAACAAGATGTTGATGAATAAAATAAGGTGGATGAGAAATCAAAAGTGGTTTTGAGGAGAACGGAAAAATTATTGATGATTAATAAAGTGGTGGATGACAAAAAAGGTTAGGAACAAGGGAACTGGATGAAGGAAACAAGGTAGATGGGGCAGACGGATGAGACAGTGGTAAGGAGGAGGAAAAGGAAGATGAGAAAGAATGGTAGAGTACGGGGAAAAGGAGGGGAGAGATGAAAAGAGAGAGGATGATCGTAGGAAGGACAATGAGTAAATCCATGTCATTCCATTCCATTTGTCATTTTCCAGAACATCAAGCAACGGCTGTAATTTCTCTCATTTTCTTCCATCACATCGTCGTCTCGTCTTTTGTGTACATCGCTGTAATTTATACAACTTCTTTTTATCCATTGTTTCACTAGCTACGAACTCCGTTTAATCAAAGAAATATTGTCTTCAATGGTTTCTTGATTTACCCCCATTTTCTGTGACTTAGGTCAATGTTCTTCCCCCATTTTCAAATGCACACTTCATGTTTCAACTTCAATCTTACCTTTTCCGTCTTTTACATCATCCCCCTTTACAGTGTCAACTCAAAAAAAGCAACAACAACAACAACAACAACAAAAAACACATTCAAATAGGCTGGTGCGCGTGTAAAAGGGGATAAGTAAAGTTTTTGTCCGAAATCAGTATTCTAGGATATTGCTTTACGAGTATTACAATACTGCCATTGCATGTAGAGAGAGAAGTGACATTGTGACTGGCATACTTATTTTGGACAAAAACTTGGTTTATCCCCTTTTTCCCGCGCATCCACGTCTCCTTCAAGAGGCCCTTTGGAGTCTTCTCCGAAACTTCACAGGAGTGCACTTTTCAAAAGGAAGTGACTTGTAAGGCCATGTCGATACCCTGACTTGAATTTTTAAGGAATATTTACGTGCAGATTGTGTTTATGCACAATGTGAATTTTCGAAACACGCTGTGTCTGTAAACTATTTCGAATAAGGGAATTATTTTCAGTGAGGAGTTAGACTGTCCCCTGCCACTCAGGCCACACCCAGCCCTCCGCTCGCCTCCACTCACCTGCCCGAACTGCTTTATCTGATGATCTACATCACATAACTGATATGCTATGATTAACGATCTTGGCATAAAAAGATAACGTGTAATCCTGCAAATATTATCATTTTTGTAATACTTTGAAATAACAACAAATTTTTTCAAATAGTTTCGTAAGAACTCAATAAAATAGAGAAATCTTGTACACAAAGCGCATGTGACCCAAAGAATCCATCACAAAAAAAAATCAAGGCAATTTTGGACATAATATGCCAGAGTACTCCCTTGTCAATAATGGTGATTTTCCCACCTTACTATTACTTCCGTCACATCGTCCCCGATATTGGCAGTCACATTGTTACCGTCAGTGTCGTTACCGACAGCGTCGTCGTCGTTACCGACAGCGTCGTCGTCGTTACGGACAGCGTCGTCGTCGTTACCGACAGCGTCGTCGTTATTACCGACTGCGTCGTTGTTACCGACTGCGTCGTTGTTACCGACAGGGACGTTGTGTTCGGCAGGGTCTCCATCACTTACACTGTAAGCGCCCCCGTCCCATTCTCAGTCCTTCGCCGTGCCCTGTGCTCGGGGAGTGGGCTGTGCGCGGAGCCCGGGCGGTGCAGCTGGGCGCTGTGCAGGGCGTGGCTGGCGGCGGCGCGGCGGTGCGTGAGGTCGCGGATGACCTGGCGCCAGCCTCGCGACGCCTGTTGCCGGGGGCAACGGCGTGGCTGGCCACTGCTCGCACTCCCATTGGCCCACGTCAGCCGACGCCCGAGCGCCTGGTGGCTCTCGCTGCTGGACAAGGGTTTTCCTCTTGATATTCGGGCGAAATAGTCTCTTCAACTTGAACTATAAAACTCGCTCCTTCAGTTGCAACTTTTGGGATTTATGTCATTTCTGATTTCGCGATAGTCCTTGTTCGCAACAAACGTTGCCGTGCACGATTTTCTCTACGAAATAAGGAATATATTTCTACACCGGATCTAGATTGTTTTCTCCACTGACAGGAATACGGAGAGCTAATAAATTCTCAATTAAGTGCAATGCAATTAAGTAACTCATTGTGGAGGGGCGTAGTCAAGTATTAGCTACTCTATAAAAGAAATACAGCCACGAAGACGTTACGTTCTGAATCACAGCGCAAGTGGATTTCTCTATATAGATCGCAGATGGGAAAATGGGATAATAAAAATAATAATTAATAATAATAATAATAATAATAATAAAGCAAAAGAACCACAAAGTAATGTGCAGTAACCGACACATCAATCGAAGAGCTTATATTGCCAAACACGGATATATTGCATACTTCCAAAAACGGACCTCATGAAAATATTTTTTGAAGATATTTGTTTTTCTTACAATTTGATTTCTTTAAACTTTGAACGACTCCGACAAACTCATATTTATTTTTAGTTTACGTTGGAAATAGCTCCAAGTTAATATGTGATGTTAATGTTTCTCTTCGTACCATTAGTCTGGCCTATTCACTTGCTTTCTTGAAACGTACAGCAAATACACGCTTTATGCCCACACTGGAATTCGACCCAAGCGAGACACAATGCAACCGCTCAGTTGAAACGAAGGCATCTGACAGCGACCAACGCAGTGCATGGACCCAAAAAACCCGACCTGTCCGGCAGCGAGCGTGCGTCGCGAGACAAATCCCATTGTTCGCGGGGTCTGCGACGGCCTACGGCGGCGGCTGATGAACTGGTGGGGCAGCGGCGGCGGTGGAGAAGGGGGAGGAGGAGGGGAGGGGGGCAGTGGGGCAGGCCGGTGCGCCAAGGCCGCAGCCGCGACCTTGAGGCGCCGTCGGCCGGACCACACCCGGCGGGCCACGCCCTGCGCTGACCATGGGGCAGGCGGCCTTCCCCCTAATAACAGTACATATCCTGGAGCCGCGCCGCGCCGCTCCGAGCCGAGCAGCCTGCACGCGGCCGCCGAGAGTCGTAACGGAGACGTGCGTGCCTTCCCAGAGTTTCTCGCGACGAATTGCAAGAATCTGCTTTGCTCCGCCACACACAAAATTCGGTCGCGCGTCGCCGTTTGGTCTGTGCTGGTGGCACCCGCCAGCTGTTGAGCGCTTCCCGAGCGACGGGGGCGGAGCGACGCGACGGCTCAAACGCGAACGCGCGCCGCAAAGCTACCGTGACTGCGCACATTTTCTTGCGGTAGTAAATATGCACGTGAAGTGCTTTGGTCGTTTTTTGAAGAAAAGTACACACATCGAGAGCCATGCGCTTGTCGTGCCGCCTTCTTCGTCACAGAATTGGAGAGAAGTTTGCACTTCATAGTCCTCATTGGCTGCAATGGGTCTTCGGCCGCTATTTTTATTAAATTACGCAGTATTTCTGTATTTCATCTGTATATACTCTAATACCGTGTATTGGAATTCCTGATTCTATGTGTTGCATAAATGACACTACTTCTTCCCCTGAAGTAAAATTGCTCATCAATAACTCTTTTGAACACAAGATAATAGTAGGCGTATTTGAGGTTGCCAGGATTCACATCTAAAAACTGACAGTGTACCTTCTGACTACTCCGCTATCTCATCACAATTTTATTATAGCTCAATGAATGTGCAATACATATATCTTCTGGCTACTGTAAATTAGTTAAATAACAAACTTTTTAACATTATCTTTTCCACAAGAATGTTTACAGAAACATTGCTGATATTATTTCAAAAATTTCCCGAGTTCCTAGGTATGTAGGTACACATTTCACATGACTGGAGGCTGCATAGTTTTCTTTTAAGTTCTGCGAGCATTCGAAATTGGTGAAATAGATGCATGTATGAGGTCAAATGCAATCGATACTTAACTCGTAAATTTGTAATAGAATAATGTAAACTTGATGTGTTTAAATTTGGACGTTAAACTTAGTAACTTTGTGTACTCCTACTGTACTCCTACTGTATAGTCCTCAAACACTGAATCAGCGTGTTAAAAGAACACTTACTAATAGCATTATCAATAGATAACGCTGTTGACATAATAATCAGAAGTCAATAACAAGTCAGTAATTTATTGAATATTTTCGACAAATTATAACAACACAAGTTTACAAAATAGATCAATGCTCAAGTAGTAAAGACATGGAACAAATAACAACCACAATAAAATTGCATTCACCTGCTGTTGTACGTTTAGATCACACTCGATTTTCCATTCTAGGGAAATGTTTAGTATATTTCGAAGAATATCGTTGGAAGATCTCTAGAAGCTGCCATTTCCCCCTGAAATAAAAAATATCATTAAATTAAAAAAGGAAAAATTGATTTCTAAACAAATCCGCAATCAAAAGCAAAAAATTATAATTTTAACTATATATATTTTTTTGAATCTGGCAATAATTTTGTGTAATTATGATATAAATGCAAGAAGTAAAATAGTCACATATGAAAAAATGTCGCCAAATTGCTAAAATGTTTCTAAATTATTAGTTCCTAGATATCATTTGAGAAAATTGTTCGTCGAATTTTCATGACAAACATATATAGGTATATGAAATTTTCAATATTTCTATTTTATTTTGATTGCAACCTTTATAAAATTTAAAATGTACATACTATGAAGTTGTCATGAATGTTTCTAATTGTTTTCAAATACTTTACTTGATTAGAGTCACAGTTTTCATGTGGATGGCCAGCCAAACAGCATAATTTTTGTTAAAATGATGTGCAAATTAACACATTTTTAAAAGATGCAATAATTAAAATAAGTATGGAAAAAATAGGAATTGTTTGAAACCAAATTTTCTGCATTTTTTCTCTTAAAAATATCAGCAAATATCACTTCCGTTTAGTTTATTTCACTGGTCAGCCTTTACATTACATGTGTCGTTTTCGGTTTAGGTTTGTGAAAGTATATTGCACTAAGCAATTAGGCAGAGGAGACCACGATTGTGAGGTTTGTGGGTAAGAGATTAAATGCTTTAGTAGGCGTGTAGATAATAATGAATTCCGAGGAAAAGTGTGATTGTAGTGGGTTAAAGAAGGTTTTAAGGAGCAAGTTGGTGTCAGATCACGTGGTCTCTGAAAAAGGTTTTGTGGATTCTCAGGAAGGGTGAAGAGATTCTGTCTAGTGGAATTGCTCATTGTCGTACGTTAGGGTCATATGGAAGAGTGCGGAGGAAGGCGGAATTGCTTGATGGATGAATGCATCTACTGAAATGATGAAGCCGCTCTGTTTGTGTATTGTATACAAACCAGGGTGCTTTGGTTATTATGCCGCAGAAATAATGACGGAATGTTTGGAGATTGTCGGAGATTGAATGGTTATGGGGTGGAGTGGACCAAATTGGGGAAGCGCGTCTGAGAGGGGTTGATAACGATTGATATATTTATAGAATGACGTAATTTGTTACTTTAAGTGAGGATGTTACGTTGACTTCGTTGGCCGAATACTTTTTGTCGGACGTGATTGATGTGGGATTTTCAGGTGAGGTTTCGATCGAGAAGAACGACTAGGTATTTTATGGGCGAAGGAGGAGGTCATCAGCCGATTGTTCAGTTGTCGTAATGTGAAGATTGTTGTTTGGACCTGGGAGAGATTTAGGGAATGAGCCAATTGGCATAACAAGTTTCTAGAGTTAAGATGTCATTTTACAGATTGGTGATTGTGATGCTGATGTCACGAGAAGAGGAAAATAGGGAAATTTATGAAAGCAAGAATGTGGAATTGTCCAAGAGGTGCACGTTAAAAATAATATTTGAAAAGGTCTGCACTGAATTGCAGGAATGAGATTTGAAACGTAATGGAAGTCATCCGCGTGAGAGGGAAATCGTCATTAGTAAATAATGAAAATCTGAACTCCGTGAAATAAAAGACCTGGAGTAAAAGACTAAATCTACTACTAGAAAATATTCATTTACCGAGAGAGATGACTCAGCGCATCAACTGATGTCACTGATACATCCGACCGAGAGACTCTAGATTCGAGTCACGACGGTGGCAGGATTTTTCGACACCAACTTGTCAGTCGCTGTCTGGAGGAGAATTTATAGCGGCCGGCTGCTTGGATTGGATGTTTTCCATGGTTTCTCCGATCAATACTAGGTGAATGCCGATGCAGTACCCGAACAAACAGGACACGGACCGCACGCGATCTTACCTTCCTCTTCCTTATCCTTTCATCACCTTTACACACACTTACACTAACATGTACTACACTACCATAAATGTCGGGAGCTCAGCGCTTGTCCCGGGTGGGGCGGTGCCCAGCTGGTGAGAGATACCTGGTTGGGGAAAATCCCACCAGCCGACGGTAGGTCGGCGCCGGATCTCGTCATCCAGCAGGGGAAGACCACCGCCACCTCCCGAGCAAAATATGCACTACACTTACAAAATATGCACTACTTGCGCGCGGCGATAGAGTAACGGTTAGCGTACCTGACTGTTGTACCCAAATTGGCGGGTTCGAAGCCGTCGATTTTTAAGGGCGAAAAAATCCTTCTTACGTCTTCCTTCGGAGGGGAAGTAAAGCCGGCTGTCCCATGTCAGTAGATTTACTTGCATGTAAAAGATCCTCAATCCTAAATGACGTAGCCTCTGACCTAAAATTGAAATCGCCTGTTTCTCGCCCAAGAAATACCTCCTTCCTCTGCTAGTTGGTGAAAGGAGCGTAGCGAAATTTGCGTGGTCAGACGGAAGAGCAGGCCGTATGGCCTGAGTCTCGCCACGTAAAATAAGGCATTAATTCAATTCAATTCAACTTACGGGACCTTAGATTTAGCGCGGAATCACTAACAATCAATAAACCAATCGGAAAACATTTATCTACTTATTGTTTTTAAAACAAGTAGTTTCTGTAAATTGCTTGGACTTGAAAAATGTGAATTAGTTAAGATAGTACCACTAAAATAAGATAATCGCAATAATATACAACGATATTGCTCCCAACAATGGACACTAGTCTACTACTCACTTGTAGTCTGATAGTGTTCGCACATTATTTTCCTCTGAAGATAATAATTAAAATCGCAGAAATTGATAAATAATTCCACATGTGCTGTCAATGAGGAACCTGAGCTCGCCGTGCACGACGCAAATTGCCTTCGTCAGCGTGACAAGGACGCGTGAACTCTCCGCTTCCCGCACTTACATGCACGCCATATCGCCCCTAAAACGCAGGAGCCGACAATGTGGCCATGAGAGAGAATGGCTCATTTCCTTAAAGACTACTTCATTTTCTCACATATTATGGTTAGTGCCCTCGTATTATACTTGTTAGAAGATAACTATTATATATGCTTTCAAACTATTGAAAGTGTTGATGTCATGTGTTTGATGATAAACGCGATTCCAGATTGCAATTCACAGAAATGCACGATTACCATGTTTAATACCAATAGAGTCCTTCCTAAGATTTCAACCTGGTTGCATTTATCTTTCTTGTGTATTCGTCCTTCTGATCTTCGTTTTGTATCTTATACAATGTTATCGATTCCTAATAACAAACGCGTACGTCGTAAAATTTATAAGTATTGCTTCTCTTTTCTGCCAGGATCAATAGCAATAAACAACTAGTGGTGCTACAACATCACATATATTCTCGCATTATTTCTTACTGCGCCGCTATATTATACTACCACATGAACCTGCAAAAGTGTTTTGAACCAGCAACAATTTTTTTCCGCTCCGAGACTCGAACGAAGGTCGTCTTAGTTAAATCGCCGCGAGCCGTACCTCTACGCCATGGAAACGGTGTTTGGAAACTCAAACTGGAGCTTCAAACTCGGGATGACGCTTAGAAATGTTATTGTTTTAACTTAACATTTTCAACATGCAATTTTCTAAAATTCAGAGGATCAACGAAAATGACTTTTACACCCTTCTTTTGAGCGTCCCTTGTTTCATACTTGGAAGCATTTAAAGAAAAAGACCACACCAGTTCATGAAAAAAAGTATAACTTGCATTAACTTCAAATAGAAATTACGTGATATATATTCATTTCTTGGTAATGTATGTTAACTATTGATGAGACATTTTTTATAAATTGCATAAATTTCTAGCACAAATTACTCGAAAACACTTGTTTAAAAATTACGCGAAAAATGCTTAAAAATTGAAAATAGATTAAATTTCGCGCAAAATTTTGCGAAAACTATTCATATTTTCAAAATATTGTACATGACCTCATTTCATCTGCTTTAAAGAACTTCTTTCATTAAAGAAAAAATATATCTTTAATACTGTATCATCTTTGTTGACCAAAGACACCGAAAAACTACACTTTTGCAATTTTCGAAAAATCGGGTTTTTCAACGAAAATGGGATTACGCCATTCTCTTAAGCGCACTTTACACTACCCGAGGACAAAGTTTAAAAACTTTGGTACGATTTTTGAGAACATTTTGAAAATGTTGCTGTGGCTTCATGTAAGGTAATCTCAAAAATAAAAATATCAGTTTTAAACCGCGAAAGTTTCCACCCCGTTTAGATTGAACGGGGAATATCAGTTTTGTAGAAAATCAGCTGAACGGTTTAGGCCGGGGCTCATCACGTTTTGCTTCGAAGAGTCAAGTTCAATTTCTCCCGGCTCTCAGCGGACGGCCGGGTCACAGCGGGAAATTCAAGTGTCAAACGTCAGGGTGTGAGAAATTCAGCGGTGGCGCTTATCACCCCACATTGCCGCGTTATCGTCCATAGACACCCGTGTCCATAAGCACAAATACCAAAATAGCTGTTACCATTGTCTGAGGATAGTTGGCACCTCCACAAACAGATAACAGTAATAAAATAAATAATTCGGTCAAGGAAAGAATTTCAGCAAATACCCGTAAGAACGTTTGCGACAGTAACAATTACTGAATGTTGAGTTGTCGGAAATCATGTAAATATGTTTATCATGTAAATATGTTATAATGCAAACAAACAACCAAAAAGTAAATGGTTGTACTCTAAAGAGATCTTACCTATTAATTATATCTACATTTTAAAATCTTTTTTCTCGCACAATGCTTTCAATATTTGGTCGGAATGATTGCAACTTAACCTCAGGACATTTGTCAAGTTATGATCTTTGAGAGCGCTTATCAGTCGATTTACAAATTTGCACTACTAGACAAAAATTGCTCACAACCACACATACTTAAACTTTGGGCAGCACACTTGTGGAGCTTAGGAAACTGTCTCTGCGGAATTTTTTTGTAAAAATGAAGTACATCTTCCTTGTGCAGGAATTTGTCTTTCAAATGTGTATCAATTTGAAGATCTAATATTTCAAACTGTAAA